GAAAAACAGCTTATATCTCAAGGCCATCAGACTGTTAAATAGCCATCACTAGCACATTAGAGGCTGCTGCTGCCTATTGAAATCACTGGCCACTTTAAGAAATGGAACACTAGTCACTTTAATAATGTTTACATATCTTGCACTACTCATCTCATATGTATATACTGCATTCTATTCTATAATATTCTACTGTATCTTAGTCCATGCCGCTCTGTCATTGCTTGTCCATATATGTATATATTCTTAAATCCCATTCCTTACTAGTTTTGTGTGTATTGGGTATATGTTGTGAAATTGTTAGATATTACTTGTTAGATATTACTGCACTGTCGGAGTTGGAAGCACAAGCATTTCTCTACACCCGCTATAACATCTGCTAAACACGTGTATTTGATTTGACTTGATTTGAAGAACGCAAGAATGCTTCTTTTTATGAGACTGTCCTTGAAAGAGATCATGTCTCGATTTGTTTTGGATTTTCTCAACGGCAGTATTGATCTGACCATTTTTGTACCCCACTTTCCTTGAAATGTATTTCCATCTCGTTTCTTTTGAAATCTGATTGTTTTTGCAAATTATTTTGAAATTGACAGAATTGGCTGTAGGGCAAACTGTTTTTTAAGGGAAGCAGGTGACAGCTATCTTCTTCTATGATATCATAAGTTGAATGCACCAATTTATAAGTCGCTCTGGATAAGAGCGTCTGCTAAATGACGTAAATGTAAATATCATGGCGGTCCGCAAACAATCGTTTAAGTGCATGCCGCCACCTACTGTGCTGGAATGTACGATCAATCATGATCTGCTCAATTCTGTACTACCATGAAAATAAAATTCTAAACCAAATAAATCCCTAACTTCTACCACACCCTCCCCTCCCCAACCCCATTAAAGTGTATCTATATCATGCTGAAACACTCCACCCTTAGGATTGTTCAGCATGTCAACAACCATTTCAACAGTAACATCTGTTACCCCCAATATCTATTTTGCCACAATAACCTTCAACCTGGCATTTCTGCTTTCCACAACCAGAGTCGTATTGATAACTTTACCAATAAAAGCTATGAAGTCAACATTATTCATTATCAAAGTGTCCTTTGACACCACACATTCACGCGCACAAGATTTCTGAACAGGTCTCAAAACCATGCCAGGACCATCAGAAGCACCAGCCCTGACAGTAGGTCCACTTACTACAGGTACATCCATGTAAGGTCCATCAGTCCGCACTGTAGTTTACCAATCTGTTTTATGGCCTCTGCATATGATACATCATGACTGATCCTATTTCTCTGAGCCTCTCTAGCCTCTCTCTGTACCCGGTATCCACCAAATGCTGCACTGTGTTCTCCCCCACAATTAAAGCACTTAACCTTCACATTGCTTCCACATTCACCGTAATCATGTGCTCCTCCACACTTGGCACATATGTTATTTCCTTTACACTGAGCAGCTACATGTCCCATTCTTTGGCATATTTTAACAGCGCAGTGCAAATGGGGCACATTCTCTAACATTGAAACTAAGGAATCCATACTTTTCCCAGCAAGACTTTCTCAAACCTCAGCATCACTGATAAGCTTTCACTTCTTTGACCCTCTTTCCTACAGATCAACCTTTTGGCCTCAATCACTCTGCCTCCCTTCACATTGTCTTTAATATCATCTGTGGACATAGATATTGGGACCCCAGTGATGACTCCCCTCAATCTAGCATAAGCACCAGGTACATGCCTTTTAATCTTCTTCCCATTAAGTTTTTCCATTTTCAAAATCTTCCCTTGCTGAGCCTGGCTGCCACACAATCATAACAATCTACCATTTCCAATGAACCAAGCTAATTTCACATCACCTACCTCTTTCTCTACGGCATTAGTTAGTCAGATAGGGTGTAAGTGAGCCCCTGTGGTCTCATCAAACACTATCACCACTTTCCACTCCAGCACATCATTACTCTTGCTTCCTACCTTGGCCCTCTTTATGCTTTCTATACTAGACGCTCCACTGCTTTCTGTATCATGATCTCTCTTCTTCCTATGTCTTTCCACTACCGACCATTCCGGTCCTTGACCCTCATCCTCCCGCTCCATCAGAACTGACAGCCATATTGTTTGCATTCCAGCACAGCTGTTGCGTCACCAACTTTTTCTCAATTTCCTCTGCCCTACTCGCCGCCATTTCCCATGAACCGCTTACCACATTTCTGCAATAGCGAAACAAGATTCAACGATATCAAACAACTCTCACTTGTGGTCAAACAATCGGTCTCATTAGTTTCTAAATGCCTCCTTACAGTTTAACCAAGAACATGTCTCTCCTCCTGTCACGTGGGCAGTGACAGCTATCAGCCCTCAACAAACTGTTACGATCAGTGTATAGAACATTATCCTCACACAAAATCAAAATATCAAGGAAACTGATTTGACGTGTGTCAGATTGCATAGGGAATCTCAGGTGCTCTGAACAAGAGTTAAGAAAAGCTTGGAACGCCTGGAGCTGTTTTGCATCACCCCTCCATAAAACAAAAATATCAATGTACCGTTTCCAAATCAGTGTTGCCAACTCCTCAGTAAGGAAAGTAGCTATTGGCTGTCCTAAAAGTCGCTAAATGACGCCATCACCTAATTTGCATAATTTGCCATGTGCATGTAATTGTGATGGACACTGTAGGAGAGAGGAATAACGTTGTGGGAGAGACAAAAAGTGAGTAAAAAACACCCTACATTTACATCCCGCCCTGAATGTAAGCCAGGGCGGGATCAGCCAGCGGCGGCTTCCCGCATGCGCGATGCATTTGCAGTCTGGACGCGGAGAGGTGAACATCTCCTGCTCTGACTGCAGCTGGGAGGGACTGCTGCGCGAGGACTGGGCCGCCTGTGAGTGCTTTGGGACGGGGGTAACAAAGCACCCGCTGCTCGTTGAGAAGAGTAAGAAAGATACGTGCTTTCACGTCAGAGTCTCCAATAACACCAGAAAAAGTCGCTAGATTTGTTGCTAGTCGCTTTTTTGAAAATGTGTCCCTAGAGGGGTCTGAAAACGTGCTAAATATAGCAACAAAGTTGCCAAATTGGCAACACTGTAAATAATGTTAGGCACATTCTTTTGTTGTTGAGATGATTGATAATTGACTGTTTCTCCATGTAACCCACATACACATTCGCATAGTTAGGAGCCATAGGGGATCCCATTACATTACCCTTCGTCTGGATAAAGAAATTGTTTTGAAACATGAAATAGTTATGTGTGAGTACTATTTCAGCCAACGTTATAATGCATGCACTGGAGGGTAGTTTATTTGGGTCACATTGCAAAAGAAAATGTTCCATGGTTTCAATACCGCCCTCATGTGGAATATTAGCAAAGATTTTTATAAGTAAACAAAGATAGACCACAGCCTGTCGTTTCCAATGGGAACAAATTAGTCATAGTGGAAAGAACAAGCAAGGAGGTGGGCAGAGCCAAGCATGAGCTCGCGAGATCCTATTGGCGTTTTCTAGCCTGCCTCTGCATATTTCCGTTAGGGAACGCCACCTATGTGAAGTGCGTGTGTGCAATAACTCAATTCAGCTTTCACTCCTAAACAAGGCGATTAAAAAAAACTTTTGCAAAGGGTAAAGTCTACTAAACTTAGTCCACTTTGTTCATAACATTCTAGTTTTGGGAAGAGAAAACTGTATTGAGATCAAATGTTTAATTGATGAGAACATTTGCATAATGTCTGCCAAAATCCATCTCGTTCCATCTTCTCCCACTGCCGACCAGTGGGCTTCCTCTCGCTACCATATTTGGTAGTGAGTGGAAACGCCAAGCGGCTGCTTCACATTTATACATCCAGTGAAATATCTCTCATATCGTTCTGTGATAGTTACTTTTGATGTTGAGTCGTTATACACTAACAAAGTATTCTCAGGGAGAGGATAACATACCAGGAAGTGACGTTGCAGGCTAACTCAGTGTTGCCCCCTCTCATCATGTAGCTGCCAATGACTGGAACGAATTGCAAAAATCTCTGAAGCTGGAGACTCTTATCTCCCTCACTAACTTTAAGCATCAGTTGTCAGAGCACCTTACCGATCACTGCACATGTACACAGCCCATCTGAAATTAGCCCACCCAACTACCTCATCCCTATATTGTTATTTATTGTGCTCTTTTGCACCCCAGTATCTCTATTTGCACATAATCTCTTGCACATCTAGCATTCCAGTGTTAATACTAATTGTAATTATTTTGCACTATAGCCTATTTATTGCCTTACTTCCATAACTTGCTACATTTGCACACACTGTATATATATTTTCTGTTGTATTTTATGACCGTATGTTTTTTTTACCCCATATGTAACTCTGTGTTGTTGTTTTTATCGCACTGCTTTGCTTTATCTTGGCCAGGTCGCAGTTGTAAATGAGAACTTGTTCTCAACTGGCTTACCTGGTTAAATAAAGGTGAAAAAAAATAAAAATAATTTGAGTAACTCAAGTTGAAGGCAGACTGGGGTACTGCAGGCTGCCATTAGCAACTAAACTATCCTTGTAACTTTTTTTTTTTTTTTTTTTCTGTGTGCAATTTTTAAATAATCGGTTCAAGGACATACATCTGGTGTATTCGAAGCAATTATTAGTATCATGATTGTCTTTGAAACATTTCTTTATTAATTGAAGATTGTACATTTTTGTGGTCATTTTTCCCCTTCACTATAATGGGGGATCCTGTTTTCTGCAAACATGGCCTGCAGTACCGCGGTCGGCCTCGAACTTACTTGGTGGCTTCAATGAGAGGGGTCGTTCTCCCCTGTTCCCAGGTCATGGTGTTAGTTTGGATTTGTGTCGCTGTTCCTGTCCATTATGGTTTTGTATTTTGTCATGTTTTGTGTGGACCCCAGGAAGAAGAGCTGCTGCTTCTTCAGCAGCTAATGGGGATCCAAAATAAAAAATCATCCACCTCAGTGTGGTTCCCTCAGCCCAGTAGAGGGGGCTCTCAGGGGGTGTAGTGGACCACCAGAGACATGGTGTTCCACTCACTCCGCAGACCGCACAGGGGGGCATTGCTGGGGTTCCTGTAGCTCTGTGTGTGCGGAGAGCCGAGCGAGTGCTGTTTTGGGGCCAGGGAGGGGCATGAGATGGCTGTCCCGGGGGTAGAGTTCTCCTCTCTGCTGCTATAATAATAATAATAATAATAAGCCATTTAGCAGACGCTTTTATCCATAGCGACTTACAGTCATGCGTGCATACATTTTTGTGTATGGGTGGTCCCGGGGATCGAACCCACTACCCTGGCGTTACAAGCGCCGTGCTCTACCAGCTGAGCTACAGAGGACCACCCTCTGCTGGGTGTTGAAGCCATACACAGACTGGGGCTCCCCTCTGCACCTCACAAAGGCCACAAAGCATCTGTAAAACTGACACACACACACACACACACACCACTTTGAGAATCAATTTCTTTCACACACTGAAGCAATAGCATTTGACACAACTTCTCCACGAAAAGAGAGCACAGAGTGAACTTTAGTTTTCTAGTGTGTGTTCTCTATTAACAGGAGTTCTTTTTATATCCAGTCTGTGTTGATACTTGACTCCTCTTCTTGGCTCAAGGGCAGCCAGAGACAACAGATGGGATGTAAGGTGGCTATAAATCCTGTTTGCCTGAGCTCTTGTAGCTGCCAAACTAACTATGTCAGCCGGTCTGTTCTTAAGTGTCATTGGTAGCATCTGGAAGGCAGGATTGCAGAGGGTGATGAGGCACAAAGTAATTACTGGGAGTCAGTGTCCTCACAATACTGTGTCCCCTCAATGACAGGAGCCAGGGTGTCACTGTCAGTAGTCCTTGTGGGGACATTAGCAGTGTCACACCACCCAGCCCCTCTCTGCTCCTCACTGACAGGCACACAGGTGGGCTGTCACAAGCACTTGAACCCCCATTGATCAACCGAGCTCTCACAACAAGAGACATGATTAGCCTGTCAAGCTAAAGTCATCATGTCTATGAAACTGAACACAGGTTGTACAACACCGAACCTGAAATAGAGTATTTAGCAAAAACATGTCAACATGATAGGACAAGCCACATAAAAACGATCAATGATATCCACAGTATGGACTCTGAAAGGCTGTCTGTGCTTGTCTTCCTGACCTCACATGCCAGGCTGCAATAGAAGGCTGTCTAAGCTGCTATATAAGCGGCACCCCATTGCTGTAAAGGCTACGCGACAGGTGAACACCACCATCGTCCCTCTGGTCTGCCCTCTAGCGCCCCCTCTCACCTGGTTGTTGAACAGCACGTAGATGACAGGGTTGATGACGGTGCTGCTCTTGGCCAGGACGGCGGGCACCACGCTGGCCACGGGGGTGACCACCAGGCCATGACGCAGTAGAGCATCCAGCACAGCAGGTAGCAGGACACCATGGACAGCACCATGAGCAGGATGTGCTGCTCTCGCCTCCGGGCCGACAGCAGGTTGATCTTAGCCACCTGGGAACAGGAAGAGGAGAAGAGTTGGACTGCCAGAAAATTGTCTGGCAAAGTTTTTCATTAATCATACTGTTGTATTATTGTTGCTATTACCAATGTGTAGCACCCACTTGTAATGCTGGTCATGTACAGTACCAGTCAAAAGTTTGGACACACCTACTCATTCCAGAGTTTCTTTATTTTTACTATTTTCTACATTGTAGAATAATAGTGAAGACATCAAAACTATAAAATAACAAATATGGAATCATGTAGTAACCAAAAAAGTGTTAAACAAATCAAAATAGATTTTATATTTGAGATACTTCAAATAGCCACCCTGTGATGTAAGACCATGGGAGAGCCTTTCACGACCAACAGCGTGCCTGGAATTAAGATCTGCAGCGAGGCCCAACCATATAAAAAAATTAATCACACCCTTGACCCATACTGATTCTCTTCATATTAATGTTATTTCTCTGTGTGATGTGTCATTGCATGGTGGATTGTAAGACACGCTAATACTTTGACACCCAGCGTCATAACACAACCATGTCATAACTGCCGACATAACTGTCATAATATGGTCATAATACATTTACACCTGTTGACATATTGCGTTATTTTATGGCTGATTGACACCTGCATGAGTGTCAAAACCTACTAAATCTACCACAAGCCAAACCATTTCATTACACCATAGCTTACTTGTAAACAGTATGTTATATAACATTTTCTGAAATGGACCATAAAAAAGTATCATTGTAATTGCGCACACATTGATGTCAGACATGTACCAACCCCAAAGCTCTCTTACTGGTGACTGGGATGAATGCAGGAGCAGAAAGTGTATTTTCTTAGTCCAAGTAAAGTGACACAGGATGCTCATAATGCTTGTTGACAGTGTCATAAGGTGTATTTTCTTTGTCCAGGTAAATTGACACAGGATGGTCATAATGCTAGATGACTGTCATAAAGTGTATTTTCTACAAGTTATTCAAAAAACAACTTTAAAGAATTCCTTATAACAAAGGATTTAACTCTAAATCATATTATTTATTCAAATGCCTTTCCCTGCAAAGACGTTTCCTCTTTCCTTTTGTTTGAAAGTTTGTTTCTGCGGCCTCCCTCAGGTCTTCACCTCCACCCCTGGATGCAATCAATCAGCAGATGCATTACTTTCTCTGAAAAATATAAGTAAAGAACAGAAATCAGAATAGAGCATGCTGCAATGTAGTGACACCGCTAAGAAAAGTTGAAAATGAAAACTTCATACCAAATATATTACGGCAATAGCAAACACTTTCACACGTTCTCAAATACATTACAATCCCATTCTCAATGTTTTGATAACATAGATAACACTAGCTCTCAACTAGTCATGTAGCTAGCTAGCTAACAGTTAGCTACCATTACATCTAGTTAGTGTTTGTTTAACTGACGTTAGCTACCCTATTACTAAAGATGGTTGTGTGCAAAACAACCAAATACAACAGATACATTGTTGATGCAACAGTACATCTGATTCATTCTATATATACACACACAGTGCCAATTGTACAAACAAATTATAGAAGATACCTGTGTATTAAATATAACAAAAAACCCATGGACAGCTAACAACAACAAGCTAGATATGGTAAGCTAGCTAGCGCCTAGCGCTGAGTTAACTAACGCTAGCGGTTAGCATGCGACCATTAAATGCAACTGTATAAAATATATATAATTAGCGTGGTTCATATGTACTCATGTAAATACACTTAATACGAGCCATCGTTTGTAAAACAAATTAAAACATTTAAGAGCCAAAAACGAAATATCAGAGACGCCATCTTGTCTCATTGACTTACAAAGTTAGGTAGCTATCTTAGCTTGGCGACACTCACGAAGTGAAGGGAAAATCTTACTCGTTTTTCACTCGGTCAAAACACCTAATTTATACATCAAAATGACGAGATAACTTGTATCTAAACTGTGATGAGTTCTCTAGATTTAAAAAACGAAACCATGCTTATAAAATGTTACAAACCTGAACAGGATGATTAAGGAGACCGACAATTAAACATTTCCCACCGTGCTTCTTTTCCTGCTTCTCTTCATCAAACATACGAGGCGCGAGCCTGCAGCTAACAGTTCGACTGTCTCCCCCTAGTGGTAGTGCTAAGTATACATGTATATTAAAGCAAAACCATGGAGGACTAAAATAATAATGTTCGTGAACAAACATACTTAGATTCTATCCATTTCCATATTTTGGAATCAATCACAGGATATTTTTTGTTGCTGTAAGGGTAATAATTTAAGACAGATAGGCCTATCACGTACATGACCGTATGTCAGTCATAAGTCCCAAAGAGGGTGTTTTGTCCTGCTCTTGCATTCATCCCAGTCATCAGCGACAGAGCATTGGGCTAGGCATGTTTGACATCAATGTGTGTACAATTACAATGTTAATAAAATGGAACATTTGGGGAAATATTTACAAGTAGAATGGAATGGTTTGCCTTGTGGTAGGATTTGTGGACTTTGACACTCTTATAACCAGCCATAAAATATTGCAATATATGTCACAACATGTCTAAATATGTGTTGTGACAGTGTTATGACAATTATGAAAGGTTATGTCAGCTGTTATGACCATGTCATAAACGTGTTATGACACTAGATGTCAAATAAAGTGTTACCTAAGTCACCTCTCAGATGACGGTACTGCTCCACAGGCTGGCACTTGCTTTCTAAGAAAAGCCTGGGGGCAGTTTCAGAATGGGAGGGCGACTGGTGGATCAACTAAGCCTGAATTCGCCAGTAATCAGGTCTGCGCAGGGGCGGAATGGGACCAGAAATTGGCCCTGGCATTTCTAACACAGATGACATGCAGACCGTTGTTTTTCTTCCTCGTGTTCCTTCTCTCGGGGCCCCCATTATTAGCCAAATAATGATAATTTGCACACAAAAAAAACAACAATTTAGACAGGTTCAGTTGGCTACGCATTTGCCAGAATTTCCCTATGGCCAGTCCAAGGGAAAATTAGCTACTTACATAGCTGGACTGTCAACAATAGTAACAGGCTACTTCCAGAGTCTAAAAATAGCTCCCAGGTAATTCATGGGGTGGCACTGTCGGGCGGTGTTAGCACGGTGAGGCGCGCAGTTGAGTCACAAAAACCTGAGGAGCGGTCATTGACCTGTTGAACACAACCTGGCCCGACCCCCCAAGGAGCCTGTTGAACACAACCAGCCAGACAGATATATCCAGGTAGCCTTTCTATTCCATTCACACTGCAAAGGGATAATAGAACATTCTCTCAACCAGCTTCATGAGGTAGTCACATGGAATGCATTTCAATTAACAGGTGTGCCTTCTTAAAAGTTAATTTTAAGAAGATAGCCCTATTTGGTGAAATGCCAAGTCCATATTATGGCAAGAACAGCTCAAATAAGCAAAGGGAAAACGACAGTCCATCATTACTTTAAGACATGAAGGTCAGTCAATACTGAACATTTCAAGAACTTTGAAAGTTTATTCAAGTGCAGCCGCAAAAACCATCAAGCGCTATGATGAAACTGGCTCTCATGAGGACCGCCACAGGAATGGAAGACCCAGAGTTACCTCTGCTGCAGAGGATAAGTTCATTAGAGTTACTAGCCTCAGAAATTGGTGCCCAAATAAATGTTTCACAGAGTTCAAGTAACAGACACATCTCAACAACAACTGTTCAGAGGAGACTGTGTGAATCAGGCCTTCATGGTCGAATTGCTGCAAAGAAAAGGACACCAATAAGAAGAAGAGACCTGCTTGGGCCAAGAAATGTGTCCTTTGGTCTGGAGTCCACATTTTTGGTCAAACCGCCGTGTCTTTGTGAGACGCGGTGCGGGTGAACGCATGATCGCCACATGTGCATTTCCCACCGTAAAGCATGGAGGAGGAGGTGTTATGGTGTGGGGGTGCTTTGCTGGTGACATTGTCTGTGATTTATTTAGAATTCAAGGCACACTTAACCAGCATGGCTACCACAGCATTCTACAGCGATACGCCATCCCATCTGGTTTGGGCTTAGTGGGACTATCATTTGTTTTTCAACAGGACAATGACCCAACACCTCCAGGCTGTGTAAGGGCTATTTGACCAAGAAGGAGAGTGATGGAGTGCTGCATCAGATGACCTGGCCTCCACAATCCCCCGACCTCAACCCAATTGAGATGGTTTGGGTTGAGTCGGACCGCAGAGTGAAGGAAAAGCAGCCAACAAGTGCTCAGCATATGCAGAACTCCTTCAAGACTGTTGGAAAAGCATTCCAGGTGAAGCTGGTTGAGAGAATGCCAAGAGTGTGCAAAGCTGTCAAGGCAAAGGGTGGCTATTTGAAGAATCTCAAATATAAAATACATTTTGATTTATTTAACACTTTTTTGGCTACTACATGATTCCATATGTGTTATTTCATGGTTTTGATGTCTTCATTATTATTCTACAATGTAAAAAAAATTGTCAAAATAAAGAAAAACCCTTGAATGAGTAGGTGTGTCCAAACTTTTGACTGGTCCTGTACATGTCATGTTAACTAAAGCCTAGAGCAGTACAGATTGGTCGGGCAGTGCTACTTTGTAACCAGCTGCAGAGTACACACTTCATTAGCACCAGAGTGCACACTCCATCATAATCTCATGATCTTCATCATGAGTCCCAAGAAGGCACCAGACACCATGTAGCCAATCACCAATGAGTAGCAGCACCACTCTTGAGTTGGGAGTCAATTTAGTAAAAAATAACTGAAGAGAATTTAAACTCAGTTCATGAATTAACGAAAAAGGACAATTTTCAATTCATACACTTCAATTCACTTCTGAATTGATTGCATTCAAAGTGGCCCTTCCCCCACCCGAGTCCCACTCACACCCCTGATGGCGACCAGTATCCTGCCGTAGCAGTAGACCATTAGCATGAGGGGTAGCAGCAGGCAGAAGATCAACAGGCAGACCACGTAGGAGACACTGGCCGGGGAGCGCTGGGTCCACTGGACAGAGCAGGAGGTACCGGCCCTCCCCGGTCCATTGCTGCTCCAGCCCATGAAGGGAGGAAGGGTCCATAGCAGGGAGTAGAGCCAGGATCCCCCCACACATGGCCAGGTCTTCCTAAAGTCAGACATGTTAGCCTTGGTGGACCGCTGCACAGTGGCGTAGCGCTCATAGGACAGAATAGACCGAGACACCAGGGACACGATCCCTAGGAGGGACAGAGAGTGTTATATAAGTGAAGTGTTAATGAAGCAGACACTCTTGGGGTCCACATAAAACACATGACAGAGTACACAACAGTTATAGACAAGAACAAAATAAGATTCAATTAAATAAAAAATATTGACTACATCAAAAGCTCATGAAAACAAAACATTTGCTTTTTGGTCTTAATTTAAGGTTAGGCATTAGGGTTAGCAGTGTGGTTAAGGTTCGATTTTGACTGTGACTGCCCACTAGTGACCACTCTGCAGAGCTCCCTCCAGGGCAAGATTCATGACAATAAATGCCAATCTGCTCTTATAATGGGGTTATGAAGACATTACACACATGCTTTTAATTTAAGGTCCTATGCAAAAGTCCTACATGTAATACATCAAGCTTCCATTCAAGTGCAAATGGAACGTATAAAGGTTTAATATAAATGCGTGCTGCTGAAGCTTTATGCAATCGTTTTTCATTAGTGTTCCACTATTTCTACATTCAAATGTAGGTTAATTAAAATGTTACAGAGACGACAGGAAGGCATGGTGGTTAAAATATAATTATATATATATATATATATATATATATATATATATAAGCTAGGCCATCCTAAATTGATAATGAATTGTGCTCAGACTTTTCATAATGAGTCTGGAGGACTTATCTAATAATTGTTCAAGCAGTAGGCCTAATGATCTGAAGGGTTTGTATTAGCGTTTGACAGTAAAGTCGGCAGGTAGCTTAGTGGTTAAGAGCGTTGTGCCAGTAACCGAAAGGTTGCTGGTTCTAATCCCCGAGCCGACTAGGTGAAAAGTCTGTCGATGTGCCCTTGAGCAAGGCACTTAACCCTAATTGCTCTGGATAAGAGCGTCTGCTAAATGACTAAAATGTAGAGTAGCCTAGCTCTAGGCTTTAAAATCGTAGGCTATAGAAATATTAGTTAGAAACTAGTCCCTGCAAAAAAACATGACATTGAGGTCAGCCTATAGTGTAGCCTAAGCTATATGGCTTTTGTTGCCTGTTGAAAAACGAATTGGCGAAACCGTACCACTTGCAGCGATGGTGTCCAATGAGCCATCTTCCTTGGATACTCGCCGCGAAACTGAATGGAGTTCCGAAAATACACACGAGGAGGTCGCTCACGCTGATGTTCAACAGAAGGAGGTTGATGGGCGTCCAAAGCAACCAAAACTTTGCCAAGATCAGCAGGACAAGAAGGTTGCTGAGGAATCCCAGGACCAAAATGAGCCCAAGACATACTGCCACCACTGTGTGGCCAGTCCTGTTCAGGCCGAAGGAGTCCTGGGGCACCAAGGTGTCCCCATCACTGACATTGGTGCTTAGGTTGGAAGCCCCACTGTCAGTGGTGCTGAAATTCAGAACTGGTATGTGAACAACCATAACACCCTCAGCGCACGCGGGCTGACTAGGAACTCCTGGGGTCGAAACTGTCTCACTCGTTCAAACTCGCGTACAGCACACATGCTGGCCAACAGTCTCGGTAACAAACAAAGACATGCAGTACTCCCATTTATTATCTCGCTCTACACTGGGTGACCTCAGGGCATGAGAATGATGGGGTAGTGAGTGTCTTCGCGCCCCTAAGAAGTCAGGCAGGTTAGGTTACTTATCCAGTGCGCCATGTCTCTGTGCGTATGCTGCGTTCACACAGGCAGCCCAATTCTGATATTTTATTCACTAATTGGTCGTTTGACCAATCAGATCAGCTCTGAAAGATCTGATGTGAAAATATCTGATGTGATTGGTCAAAAGACCAATTAGTGGAAAAAATATCTGAATTGGGCTGCCTATGTAAAGTTATCGAAAAATATTTATTGATTGAGGTCCACCAATGAGCTAAACCCAGTTTTAGCAGGGGGCAATCAGAGTGCAACATCAATAAACTGTTAATGATACCAACCTATTAGGGGAGACCGGGGGCAATTGTAAAAATATGTATAATAATGTATTTTATTCTATTGCTCAGAGACAACTTGAAGTAGGCGTAGTCATTTTTTAAAAATATTTGAAACGTACATGTCTCCTAATCATTCACAACATAAATAGGTCTGTACATAAGAAGGTCAGAGTACAGTATTGATTTTCACCCGAAAAGTCTGGATGTTATATTTGCCGCTGTGACAGGGGCAATTGTAATAGTAGCTGATGTCAAATGTAAAGCCTAAAAAGAAACCAAATGAACTCACTTAACTTCAGTAGATTTCATTGACACTTTGTTCAACTTTTTCAGCCTTTGTTTTATGACTTTGTTTTATCACACCTGGACTACTGCAGCACCATTCTCTACTGACTCCCCGCCAAAACACTGGACAGACTTCAACATATTCAATTTTCACCTGCACGAGTCCTCACACACACCAGACCTGGGGACCACATCACCCCCACCCTCATCAAACTCCACTGGCTCCCAGTTCAATACAGGATCATCTTCAAATAGCTCATGCTCACCTACAAAGAACTCAATGGACTGGCGCCCACATACCTTACTGACCTCCTGCACCCCTACACTCCCACCTGTTCACTATGCTCCTCTGACACTACTGACATCCTCACTATCTCTCGCACCAGGCTCTGCTCCATGGGAGACCAGGCTTTTAGCAGTGCAGTTCCCCAACTCTGGAACTCCCTCCCTCTCCATAGCAGTGCAGCTCCCCAACTCTGGAACTCCCTCCCTCTCCATAGCAGTGCTGCTCCCCAACTCTGGAACTCCCTCCCTCTCCATAGCAGTGCTGCTCTACAACTCTGGAACTCCCTCCCTCTCCATAGCAGTGCAGCTCCCCAACTCTGGAACTCCCTCCCTCTCCATAGCAGTGCTGCTCTACAACTCTGGAACTCCCTCCGTCTCCATAGCAGTGCAGCTCCCCAACTCTGGAACTCCCTCCCTCTCCATAGCAGTGCTGCTCCCCAACTCTGGAACTCCCTCCCTCTCCATAGCAGTGCAGCTCTACAACTCTGGAACTCCCTCCCTCTCCATAGCAGTGCAGCTCTACAACTCTGGAACTCCCTCCCTCTCCATAGCAGTGCAGCTCCCCAACTCCCGAGTGGCGCAGCGGTCTAAGGCACTGCATCTCAGTGCTTGAGGCGTCACTACAGACCCCCTGGTTAGATTCCAGGCTGTATCACAACAGGACATAATTGGGAGTCCCATAGGGCGGCGCACAATTGGCCCAGCGTCGTCCGGGTTTGGCCGGTGTAGGCCGTCATTGTAAATAAGAATTTGTTCTTAACTGACTTGCCTGGTTAAATAAAAATGTTAAACAACTCTGGAACTCCCTCCCTCTCCATGTCAGAACCTCACAATCCATACATATATTCTAGTCCACACTAAAGACACACCTCTTCAGACAGGCTTACCTGGATTCTCTGTTGTCTTAGATTTTATCCTCTGTCTAGTTCACTTCCCTGGTCAGTCTGTCATCATGTTTAGTATTCTCCATGGTTAGTCTGTCATCATGTTTAGTATTCTCCATGGTCAGTCTGTCATCATGTTTAGTATTCTCCATGGTCAGTCTGTCATCATGTTTAGTATTCTCCATGGTCAGTCTGTCATCATGTTTAGTATTCTCCATGGTTAGTCTGTCATCATGTTTAGTATTCTCCATGGTTAGTCTGTCATCATGTTTAGTATTCTCCATGGTCAGTCTGTCATCATGTTTAGTATTCTCCATGGTTAGTCTGTCATCATGTTTAGTATTCTCCATGGTTAGTCTGTCATCATGTTTAGTATTCTCCATGGTTAGTCTGTCATCATGTTTAGTATTCTCCATGGTTAGTCTGTCATCATGTTTAGTATTCTCCATGGTTAGTCTGTCATCATGTTTAGTATTCTCCATGGTTAGTCTGTCATCATGTTTAGTATTCTCCATGGTTAGTCTGTCATCATGTTTAGTATTCTCCATGGTTAGTCTGTCATCATGTTTAGTATTCTCCATGGTCAGTCTGTCATCATGTTTAGTATTCTCCATGGTCAGTCTGTCATCATGTTTAGTATTCTCCATGGTCAGTCTGTCATCATGTTTAGTATTCTCCATGGTTAGTCTGTCATCATGTTTAGTATTCTCCATGGTTAGTCTGTCATCATGTTTAGTATTCTCCATGGTTAGTCTGTCATCATGTTTAGTATTCTCCATGGTCAGTCTGTCATCGTGTTTAGTATTCTCCAAAGTTAGTCTGTCATCATGTTTAGTATTCTCCATGGTCAGTCTGTCATCATGTTTAGTATTCTCCATGGTTAGTCTGTCATCATGTTTAGTATTCTCCATGGTTAGTCTGTCATCATGTTTAGTATTCTCCATGGTCAGTCTGTCATCATGTTTAGTATTCTCCATGGTCAGTCTGTCATCATGTTTAGTATTCTCCATGGTCAGTCTGTCATCATGTTTAGTATTCTCCATGGTCAGTCTGTCCTTATTTTTAGTATTCTCCATGGTTAGTCTGTCATCATGTTTAGTATTCTCCATGGTCAGTCTGTCATCATGTTTAGTATTCTCCATGGTCAGTCTGTCATCATGTTTAGTATTCTCCATGGTTAGTCTGTCATCATGTTTAGTATTCTCCATGGTTAGTCTGTCATCATGTTTAGTATTCTCCATGGTTAGTCTGTCATCATGTTTAGTATTCTCCATGGTCAGTCTGTTCTTATTTTTAGTATTCTCCATGGTCAGTCTGTCATCATGTTTAGTATTCTCCATGGTTAGTCTGTCATCATGTTTAGTATTCTCCATGGTTAGTCTGTCATCATGTTTAGTATTCTCCATGGTCAGTCTGTCATCATGTTTAGTATTCTCCATGGTTAGTCTGTCATCATGTTTAGTATTCTCCATGGTTAGTCTGTCATCATGTTTAGTATTCTCCATGGTTAGTCTGTCATCATGTTTAGTATTCTCCATGGTCAGTCTGTCATCATGTTTAGTATTCTCCATGGTTAGTCTGTCATCATGTTTAGTATTCTCCATGGTTAGTCTGTCATCATGTTTAGTATTCTCCATGGTTAGTCTGTCATCATGTTTAGTATTCTCCATTGTCAGTCTGTTCTTATTTTTAGTGTACTTTTAAATGTTTACTTATTTAATATGTGATTTTATAGCTTTTTATCCTGCTGATTTTCTTGTGTATGTAAAGTGACTTTGGGTGTCGTAAAAAGCGCTTAAAATAAAATGTATTATTATTATTATATTCAATTACTTATCCTATGTATTCTATGATCAAAGTACATGCAACCAAAACACTGCAGCGTCCATAATGATAGACATGAATGTTTACCAAATTTTGTCAAAAGCCCAGATCTCATAATTCATGCTACAGTAGTTATTTAGTTTTTGAGTTTTTGGGGGTGGGAAGTTCTAGCTTGAAAGAAAGCTCATTGTGCCTGGGATAAAAATCTAGGCTAACAGTCCATCACCCACATTACGTTGCTAGAAAACATTATTCCAGTGGCAGCCATTAAATTCCTGATAGATGACTTTACCATTCTTTCCAGCTGTTTCAGCAGCAGCAACATGGCAACAATGCACCCATGTAAAGTTCCTATTACTAGAGAATGGCCGGTAGCCTAAGTGTGTCAGCACCATAGAAAGAGTCATACTTGCGCAACGTGTTCTGTTCTTCCCAGTAAAGTCCATCCATCAGACACTACCTTCTGCAATGCAACCCATCCTCAATGTGTCCGTTTTATTAACGACCACCTCAACTACCTTTGTGTCTTATCATCAACATTGTCATGGACACTTGTCAAAGTCGCGTCAATTCAAATCTGGTATTAGGAACAAAAGAGGTCAACACGACTTCTAAGGTATACTAGTTATTTTAATTAATGCAAAAACCTTCAATGGTAAATATGATGTTTCGTACATACGGGTTCTCTGATATGCCTCGCAGGACATTCCAGACAACTAACTCCTTGTTCCAGAAAACAATACCCAAATACTCTGACAGAGGAAGTTTCCCACTTCTCTGCTGGCCAATTAGAGTAAAGACTTGAGTGGTTTAAACTTTCTCAGCCAATACGTTGATGCAGGGGGTTGGTCTCATCTCTTCGGCGCCATTTGTTACACACTTAATCCAGGCACAAGATTATCATAACAACCTGTCATAGTGAGAAGAGCCAGCTCCCTTAGACATCATTCCCATGTCAAAGGAAGACTCATAAATCACAATGAACCATTATAGTCTTGTATTTGAAGACACAATCCTTATCTTCTCTTCACATCAATCACAGCCTTGCCAGGTGTCACAGCCTACATTAGCCCAGTCAAGAATGCATTCTTTCTAAGTTAGTCATCCCATTAGTTTAGGAGAATAATAAATCCCTAATACACTGTAGCAGTTCTCTCCTCTCACCAGCCTCTCTCATTCTACCTGCTGTGCCACAACCCCCCAAAAATAACACAATCTAACGAGACCAGGGAGAGATGTCTACCTTTCTGAATTCCGTGCCCCAATGGAGTAGTGACCTGTGTGAGTGATGTCAGTGCGTCCTGTCAGCCGGCCATCATCAGAGGAGATCACTGTAAATCTCAGCGACGTGCTGGTCAATGGTGTAGCTGCGCGGTTTGCACCTTCGCAGCTTCCCGCTGCCGTTATGACTCTTAATCCTCCTCTACTCTATCTTCAATCAGCTCCATTGGCGTGTGAAGGGCCGCTCGATAGCCGCTCGCCACGCCGGCCCCTCCTGTGGTGATTAGACCACACCCACGATGACTGAAACAAGGGGTAATGGAAAGGATAGAAAACTTGGGTAGGTGGGTGACTTGCTCGCTTCGGTTTCCTGGATTTTGTTAAACCATCGGAGTATTACAAAGAGCAGCGCATCGCTTTTTAAGGTGTTCTTATATATTACAAAGAAACATTTCATATTTTCATCTCATACTGAATCCCTGCTTGTTTAATACTCCTGGTCACTGACTTCCTGAGAATCTAAAAGCCTACGAGTCAGTGGTCTTCGTGACTTTACACATTGAAAACACTCTGTTGATTGACACCTACCCCTTTAGCAACAGCTCAAACTGCTGAAACCTGTGGTTTTGGAGGAAATAGGTATTCAGGAATGATACTCTTTATTCACTCTCCACTGCTCTCTTCTGTCATTCACAGATGTAACCCCATGCTTGGCTGTTTGGACTCTCACTGAGAGTCATCTTACACCTGTCACCTCCCTATAGAATGGTCTATATTAGTGTCATAGGAGATGATCTGGTCTGTACATCACACCTATCCAACTGAATCCCTCTCCTAAGACTGTCATGATGACCAATATTGCTTCTCCAAACTATTCCCTTTATTGGCACTGACTAATATAACTACTTCTGTGGATTGACAATGTGGTGGAACAATAGGGGTTGGCTGAAACTGACAGTGGTGTAAAGTACTTAAGTAAAAAATACTTTAAAGCACTACTTAAGTAGTTTTTTTGGTATCTGTACTTTTACTTCATAATGAAAATAATTTACTTTTTACTCCATACATTTTCCCTGACACCCAAAAGTACTCATTACATTTGACAAGAAAATATTCCAATTGACGCACTTCTCAAGAGAACATCCCTAGTCATCCCTACTGCCTCTGATCTGGCGGATTCACAAATGCTTCATTTGTAAATAGCCCCTGGCTATCGGTAAATAAAAAAGAAAAATAAGAAAATGGTGCTGCATGGTTTGCTTAATATAAGGAATTTACTTTTGATACTGAAATATATTTTAGCAATTCCATTTACTATTGATACTTAAGTATATTTAAAACCAAATACTCAAATAGTATTTTACTGGAAGGCTTTCACTTTTACTTGAGTCATTTTCTATTAAGGTATCTTTACTTTTACTCAAGTTTGACAATTGGGTACTTTTTCCACCACTACAAACACTCAGCAAAATGGCTCCAACGTGGCAGGAGAAAGGTCAGACTCAGAGGTCAGACTCAGAGGTTAAAAAAGGTGACCTCACCACATAGCCTATAGAAGTTATGTCACTTTTTTTTTTTTTTTTTACTTCAGCCCTTAATTTTTCCTACCTGTGCCCTCCTTTTCCTGCCTTGCTCAAATCGTTTTTCTGAGTCATTACAGTCAGAGGTTAAAAGGTGAAGGCTGACTGAGGAGGTGCTATGAAGGCACACATCAGAATCAGAGAGTTATTTTAGGTTCCGTCATGTCAGTAAAATCAGATCATGGTGATAGAAGCCTTTTTCCACCACTGGAAACTGAGTTAAATGTTAGAGACAGATAGAAATGAAGATGGAGACCAGACAGAGCAAGAAGTAGAGTCCATTATTTTGGCCAAATGCCACCTGAAAAATCATAGGTCAGTTGAGAGTTTTTAGAGTGGAGAAAGGCATCGTCAACATGGTTTGAAGTGTCTTTGGAATTGATTTAGGTTATCTCACTAGAGCATGTCAAAAGCCTTCTTTCAACACACTGTTTTGGACTTCACAATGCTAACTGGCCAATGAAACAAACCCTTTGGTTACTAACTCTCTGGGTCCATCAACTTTGAAGGTATCCATGCAAGGTCAATCTATAACTTGGACAAACTATCAGGTTCTAAATGTTCTAAACGTCTTTGGGAAACTGAAATAACACATAACCAAAGGAATTATCTAGGTGACATTAGTGGATCTCAGGGCCATTATATTTTATTGTTCCACATTGAAATCCCTGTTTGTCTCTAACTAATTAGCTAAGGACGTAAGGTGTAGCACCACTGCTGTGGCTCCACCACTGGCCTCTGAGTCACTGATACACTGTTAATAAGGGAAAAGAGCGAGCCTTACAAACTGATTGGACGGCGGCTCTGTGACAAAGGCAGATTGTAGCGAATCAATCAAACTGCTGAAATGCCAAAGGATGCGGAAATTACTTTCAGCGTCTCCCCTCCTCTACTTAGAATGTCTCAACAAAATACATAAATTCAATGATTTTCTCAGAAAGGTTTTTCCATGTATTGAGATACAAAGACTATTTTGTTTAGATGCCCTCAGATGTCTGTTGGTGTTGAAGCCGAGGAACAAAGGCTCTTTGGTATCACCCGTGGTGACACACAGTTTAACCCAGGACAAACACATAGGCCACCTCAGCCAAGCAGGATGCTCTGCTGCTCAACAAGGTGTTTCTATACTACAGTGTGGACCTTACAGTGTTTAGCTACTACACAGATAACTAAGGAAGGAACTACATAGGATGTGTGTGTGTGTGTGTATATGTGTTTGTGTATGTCTGTGCATTGTGTTGGATGATGAGGGGATTGCCTGGTTCTGGCATTGTCCCTTTTTCATTTGGACCGGGGTTGTTACAGTACCAGACGGGAAGGTACTAAAATGAGTGCAGAGCCATGGAGATGCAGTAGCTGTTCCTCCATCTGCAGCTTCAATGGGGGTCATAGTGAGGGGTGGACCTCATCATGCTTGCCAGTCTGATTAGGGAAGGAGTGGGTGTGGGGGAAGGCACCAGTACAGACCAAGCCCATATCTATTATCATGTGTTTCACAAGGGTAACCGCAATCTCATTACAATTGGATGCAGCAAAGAATGCCGAGGGAATTGTTCCAAGGTGAAGGTGGAAGTGAGAGCTTTGTTGTTGTGTTGTTCAGTTTCATCATTTTTTTGTTCATTTTTATGAACGACTCGGCAGGGCTGAAGAATCACACAAGAGCTCCTCCAGACGTGTTGCTTGATTGATTGAGGCTGACATACTTCCATTAGAATGAAGTAAACAAACATACTTCCATGTACTCTCCATGAGCCTTGAGAGGTTTGAGTCCTATGCTACTGCCTCACCTGTCTGTCCTCTTCCTATGCTACTGCCTCACCTGTCTGTCCTCTTCCTATGCTACTGCCTCACCTGTCTGTCCTCTTCCTATGCTACTGCCTCACCTGTCTGTCCTCTTCCTATGCTACTGCCTCACCTGTCTGTCCTCTTCCTATGCTACTGCCTCACCTGTCTGTCCTCTTCCTATGCTACTGCCTCATCTGTCTGTCCTCTTCCTATGCTACTGCCTCACCTGTCTGTCCTCTTCCTATGCTACTGCCTCACCTGTCTGTCCTCTTCCTATGCTACTGCCTCACCTGTCTGTCCCCTTCCTATGCTACTGCCTCACCTGTCTGTCCTCTTCCTATGCTACTGCCTCACCTGTCTGTCCTCTTCCTATGCTACTGCCTCACCTGTCTGTCCTCTTCCTATGCTACTGCCTCACCTGTCTGTCCTCTTCCTATGCTACTGCATCACCTGTCTGTCCTCTTCCTATGCTACTCCCTCACCTGTCTGTCCTCTTCCTATGCTACTGCCTCACCTGTCTGTCCTCTTCATATGCTACTGCCTCACCTGTCTGTCCTCTTCCTATGCTACTGCTGAAACACAATGCAACACCCCTCTAGATGTCGTTCCTCTCTTTTTAGTGTCACTGGATAAGGAATATGACAGTGAGGTTTGACACCTTTTAGCAAAGTACTGTAAAAGAAAAAACGTAATGTACAGGGTGGAAGATGCTTTGTAATGGCCACTTCGTTCTAACCAACATTTTAACTAAAATGCTCTGCCCAGTTTGGAGGGGGGAAAATATATTTTATTTGTATTACTGAATATAATCCACTATACATAATTAAAATATCCACACATGAAAAATGAATGAGAAAACACAATAACATTATAATAGTCTAAAATTCATTTCAAGTGACATTTTATACATTTGGGACCTTTTCCCTGTTCATGTTTTCAGCCATATGGTGGCAGTATGGTCACACTTGTTCTAAATGGCTCGAGGTCTGTTCCTGTGAGAGTCACGTACACTTTCCAGGCGAGAGATATTTCATCTAATCCAGATCAACATGTTTTTGCACTTCATTAAGATATTACATATGATTTTTTATGTTTAATCCAAAGTCTTACATCTCAATTATTACAGTAAAATAGGTTTGTTTTAATACCTACAGTGCAATGTAGATTGTCTACTTCGTATGCTCAGCAGCAATCTCTGTAAAGCCCTTTTCATTTTCATGGCAATCATTTATAAGGATATCAACTGCATTTAATTCATTTGCTATGAGCAAAACATTAGTAGCTGGTTCCACATCACAACTGAAAATCACATCAAACCCCCTCCTACAGAAGTCCACACATCGAAGGAAACAACAGCTGTTCATTAACACCAATATTTCAATAATTGTTTGAAATTGTTAAATCGTAAAACATAACGAAGGAACCTGATGTAACTATGCACTGTAAACTTTCTCCCCCCCCCCCCACCCACCGGTCCTTGAAGTGAATTATGATCTGGTTTGCAAAACAGGTTAGTCAGAAAGTGTTTTGTTTCTGAGAGGCCGTTCCAGCTGTTGCATTTCAAGGAACTGATATCCTTCTGAGAGTGGCTGTGGAGGAGGCCTGTTAGGCAGGAAATTGTCTAATAACCAGAGGGGTGAACACAGCATGCATATGTTGAAGACTCTTCTCTCTCTTCCCTGCGCAGTGACGCTTCATTTAATACCAATACAGGTCCTTTTTCTCCAGAACTATTCCTGAAAGAGGCAAGAATAGGTGTTGAATAACTCAAAACAGACCTTTTGAAAACCAACCAAACCATCAAATGATATGAAGTTGAGAAAAAGCACTGAAGCACAGGTGCTGTGAAACCTCCCTAATCTTCACAACATCCAATGGATTTTGGATTGTAGATTTCTCTGACAGTGATATAGGCTACAGTTCATTATCAAATCTATGTGTAAGAGAGAAGTCTCCCTCTCCTTACACATGAATAGTGATAAGGGATCTGTGTTGAGGCAGCCATACCTGAGTCAGGGTCCATGGGGTCTCTGAAGCCAGGGTGACCCGTCCAGCTAGGGAAGAGCTCTGGTTTGGAGCCTGAGGCCATGCCTGCAGCCACCTCTGACCGGTCACTGTGGAGGAGATTCAGCAGGGAGTTGGTGTAATGCTGTCCAGTGACCCCCAGGCCCTCAGGGGACATGGCATGGGGAAAGGCCATGGCGGGCAGGCCCAGACCACCATGTTGCCTGGAGGTGAAGGCCCAGGGGCTGGTGCTCTCTTCTGGGGAGTCGAGGGCCAGGGGGTGGCTGGAGCTGGACTCCTTGGTGCTGCTCAGCTGGAGGGAACCAGAGACAGGGGCAGAGTGGCCTTCGGACCAGGATGGGGTTGAGACACCCCACTGACAAGACGTTGAGTCAGACTCTGAAACAGATTGAGAAAAAGTATCTAGAATGTTGTTTAATTGTGTACATTTCACGTCAGTGAACACCTGTTTTCTTGTTCAGTGCACACAGCATCAGGATGTTTGGTGCACACAGCATCAGGATGTTCGGTGCACACAGCATCAGGATGTTCGGTGAATACAACATCCGGATGTTCGGTGCACACAGCATCAGGATGTTCGGTGCACACAGCATCAGGATGTTCGGTGAATACAACATCCGGATGTTCGGTGCACACAGCATCAGGATGTTCGGTGCACACAGCATCAGGATGTTCGGTGCACACAGCATCAGGATGTTCGGCGAACACAGCATCAGGTGTCTGCTCACCAGATTTGACAGCCTTGCGGCTCTTTTTGCCCTTCCCGCTGGGGGCCTTGTTGTTGCTGGCCTTGCTGAGGGCACGGGTGAAGTGTTCGTCCACCATGCTACCGATGTCACCCTGGAAGTAGGTGAAGATGACTCTATCAGACTGCTCCTCTATCTTTACAACTTCATGGGGGCTACCTGAACGTCCTGCCATCGCTGACTCAACTCAGATCCTGGGGGAACATAGTAGAGTACAGTAGAGTACATAGTAGAGTACAGCTGAGGGGAGGATGGCTCATAATAATGGCCGTAACGGAGCATATGGAATGGCATCAAACACATGGAAACCATTTGTTTGATGTATTTGATACCATTCCGCTCCAGCCTTTACCACGAGCCCGCCCTCCCCAATTAAGGAGCCACCAACCTCCTGTGGTAGAGTACAATGGTTAGAAGTTAGAGAACATTGATATTGTGAATAGCAAATCCATCTGTAGGCTAGGCTTCTCATACAGCATGTGATTGTTTCATTCATTGGAATTATGGCGTTTGGAAGTCCATCATTTGGGATATGGATAAAATATTTGAACTCTCTCGGTTTGGATTTGATTTCCTGACTTGGATGGATACAGTAGCATCCAGGGGAATTAACAGATCCTCTCACCATGAAGTAGTAAAAGGGTTATAGCCTAAAAAATAAAATACACGTTTCCTCGTAAAAAAGGAAGGTATCCAGGTGAGCTTATTTCAATCACCGACAGTTGAGAAATCCCCATAATTCGTGTTTGTATGAACACAATAGAATGAGCGGGATAAGATATACAAAACCTGACCGAATTTGACATCTTTTTATTGCAGATATCTGTTATTTGAAAACAATGTCTGCTTGTCAATACACAAATGAAAGGTGCAAAGTAAATCAATGCTTATTGCTGTCCGCATGTTACAAGCGACATACTTTTTATCACAACTTTGATCTTTGTAAATAAATCTGCCTATCTTTGATTCAGTTAAATTATGTCAACAATCATGTAATATTGAATAAAAATGTCCCAAATGACATAAGTCAGAGAAGAATAGATACACCATAAATGGTTATGGTGAATTATAATAATCAGACATGTATCTGCAAATATTGATAAAACCATACATTACATTTACAGTATTCTTAGATTATATTAGAATAAACTAATACATGACATGCACTCTTACCTGAGCAGGTGAGCTCCTCTGACCAAGGACCAAGTTCCTGGTTTGATTGATTGAAGGAACCTTTGATGTAGTTGCCTACATGCAATTGCCAAAAATTACTCAAAATATTGTTCCTTTGACCACAGCACTGTCATTCTTCAAATGCTGCTGATATAACACAACCTGTGAAGATCTTCGTGCTCTCAAGTTTCCAGATTGGTGGAGGAAACATCAAACTCTCCGTTTATTGCAGCCTCTATTCAACACATCCAGCGCTCAAGTTGCCTGCTGTGTAGAAGATGTCGCGAGGGAGGGTGTGAAGCGCTATAAACTCGGTATGATGAGAATGTAACTCAACAAGTTCCTCCACACACCTGCAGCACCTTATAAAAACATTCCTTAGTGAACTACACTGCCAAAAACGAATGTTCACTTTTAGAAAAGTGTTTATGGGAACACATTCTATATGGAAAGGGTTTGTCAATTAGAAAGTGTGGAAATATCTACAGTGTGATATTGGAAGGATTCAAATAAATAATAGCATGGTTATAGAATGGCTATTACTTCGCGATAATGCCATTATCATACTTTCTGTGCACTGTGCAAGTAATAATCCTAATGTCAAACTAAGACAAGCGTTGTATGCTTGGTATAGATGTTTTCCTATAGGCAGAATGCAGACAGCTGAGCATTTTCAGAAAATAATGTAATTGCAATAATGCAATAAATATTTTATATTAGACTTGAAAGTGTTATTTTAAACAGCTCTCTTACAAAAAACGGAGAGCAGTATTCACAATTCATATTCTGATAAATGACATAACATTTTCAGAAAGTACACTTACAATAACTAAAAAGCAGACTGTCTTGTTACACACAATGCTATAGGCTACATGTAACCTCTTTACATCTCTCACTCATACAGAGAACCACAATGAAAGTCACAGCCACCAAGGCAGATGTGATGCAGACATCCATTCACTAGTCAACATAAGGACACATTGCCTTGTTACCATAGCACTCAAACAACATGAGATGTTATGCTGTCATATCCTTCACAAATATTCTTATTGTCAGATGGGTTGAACTTTCTATTTAAATGTCCCCAAGTTTTCATTCAGTACCTTTTGAATGGACCACATTGCCTTATTATTCTGTCAAAATGCTAGTGTGGGAAGAGTGCTATTCATAAGGTGTATTTGAGATGGAGAAATGGAGAAAAGACTGAAAATAAAAGATTCTCCCATATGCTAAACAAGCCACATTCATCAACCTTCAAGCCTTTTAGAGATGGCGGTAAACATAACGGGTGTCATTAAATGTCATGGATTGTTTCCTGTTAAAATGGTGAGAGACACAGCCCAAGGGAGGCTTTGAAAATATATGTTTCTATGAAGAAAAGTAATGAAGTGTCCTTGACTCTTTAAACTTTTGAAGGTTTTCACTCCTCTTCTTTATTTGTAAAGGATTTTAATTGAACATCATGAAAAGATAAACAGAAACACATTATGAAGAAGATACATTTAATTTACCAAATAGAATGCACAAGGTACCAACATATTACACTATAACAATAGTCCACTTACAATACACATTATTCATGGAGTTTGTGTCCTTTAATGCACAGAACAGGCTAACACTTACACCTAGATTATGTTTATCTCCCGAGGAAGTTGAGACTGCACTGCAGAGAGACATACGGCAGTTAGTGGGAAGAATATTGGTAGTCTTATGGTCATTTAAATATAATCAAATCAAATGGTATTTGTCACATGCGGCGAATACAACAGGTGTAGACCTTACAGTGAAATGCTTACTTACAAGCCCTTAACCAACAATGCAATTTTAAGAAAGAATGCCAACAACAACAAAAAACAAAAAAAACATTAAATAAAACAATTATAAGAAATAAAAGTAACAAATAATTAAAGAACAGCAGTAAAATAACAATAGCGAGGCTATATACAAGGGATACCATCTCAGTGATGTGAGATGCCATGAACTGTTTAAATATCCTTTCAGTTTGAGTTGATAACAATCTTTGAGTCTCCCATACTGTGTTAGAGGAATCCCACAACGAGCCATCCATGTCTGTTCTTAAAACCTGGATCCCTTCACTAACCAGACAGGGAAAACTCTCCCATCCCCAACCGTTCCTAACCACGTTTCCTAGCCGACCCTGACCTCCAATCAGTCTGGAGCTTCACAACTGGATCTGAAGCAGTTTAGGGGTCTGGCTCCATGCTTTAAGAGGCTGGCCCACTCTACATCTAACAAATTAGTGTCTGCAACAGATGTCCCCTCTCTGTCAGGGAGCCTGAAGGAGGCCTCGATGCAAATCCCTTCATCCAAAGTGCCAAACAGGAATATAGAGCAACGGACAATTTTATTTTAACATTTCTGTTTATCAACCTTTGCTACTGGGATACTGTGCTTCCATAGGAACCAAGGGGGAACTGTATTCCTTCATTTCGTGAGATCAAGAGCTCTTGGTTTCTACTGTCAGACTCCAGGTCTCCTGCTAATATGTACAAGTGATCGGTACTCCACTGTCTATTCACATATAGTGGGCAGGGCCTAGAATTACCATCTTGGTTTGGCAATTTCAATTTAAGACTAAGTTCTTGTTCTTTCCAATACAAAGCACTGCTATAATAATAATAATAAGCCATTTAGCAGACGCTTTTATCCAAAGCGACTTACAGTCATGCGTGCATACATTTTTGTGTATGGGGGGTCCCGTGGATCGATCCCACTACCTTGGCGTTACAAGCGCCGTGCTCTACCAGCTGAGCTACAGAGGACCACAATAGTGCTATAGTCTGAACAGTAGAAACCAGAGAGTACTTGCGCACTCTTACTTTGAGCCCTTACCTCCATGTTCCATGTCCTCCCTATCCACCCCATAGCACACCCCCTCTCCTGTCTGGGGACTGAGCTCACTAACACCCTTTTTACCCCCCAGCATCCCCTCTGCACCAGGGCCACCTTGATTAGACCTCACTTGTAGTCCTCTTAAGTTGCTCGACAATCACTCTGGGTCTGTGTCCCAATACTCTTTCCTGGTCTCCTTGTCTTCATTCCCACTGGGTGGAATGGGTGAAAGGACTAGGTTTCCACAAGGACTCCCTTTAAGACTATTGAGACTATTGAGACACAGCCAGTTTCTTATGTGGATTCTCTCCTGTTACTGGTTGAAATCACACGGTGAACCCCCCAAATCCCACCCCTTTCTTTGTGTTGACCCTCATCCCCCACCCCTCTCGCCTCCTTATTTTTCTTCTTGTTTTGGCTTCTCCATTTTTGGTGGGGTTCGGCTTGTTCCGGACGTGTAGCTCGCAAGCCCCTGGCGAGCCAAGTGGACGGAGGGTTCCTCAGTCGCCTGCTCACCCCCACCCAGGCCTTACCAGCTAGGAGCAAGAGCGCTGCAGCCCTGTCGGCCGAAGGAGGCAACGCCCCAGGTAACCCCCACAGAAGAGACCCCCTCTAGAGAGTGAGGACCCAGCAACGCACAGGGACCCCCCCACCCCGCTGCTGACCTCCATTGTATCTGTCACGACTTCCGCCGAGGCTGCCTCTCCTCCTTGTTCGGGCAGGCTTCGGCGTTCGTCGTCACCGGCTTACTAGCCACTGCCGCTCCATATATCATCATTCCATTTGTCTTGTCTTGTCAATTACACACACCTGGTTCATATCCCCTCATTAGTCTGTGTATAAGTGTTCCCTCTGTCCCCCTTGTCCTTGTGGGTGATTGTTTATTTGTGAGAGTAGTGTACCTCGGTGGAGCTACTCGTACCTTGTTATTGCCGGGGTGGATATTTCCCCTGTGCCTGTTTCATTTGTTGCTTTCCAGCGCTGTGTGTGTACGACGGAATAAACTCTGCATTCGGTGATTACCCTCCTGCGCCTGACTCCTTCTATCACACTCATCACAGTATCACTAGCTACAGTATAAGATAATACCACCTCAAGCCACACCCCTGTCCTCCATTATATCACTAGCTACAGTATAAGATAATACCACCTCAAGCCACACCCCTGTCCTCCATTATATCACCAGCTACAGTATAAGATAATACCACATCAAGCCACACCCCGGTCCTCCATTATATCACTAGCTACAGTATAAGATAATACCACCTCAAGCCACACCCCTGTCCTCCATTATATCACCAGTTAGTAGCTATAAAACACCCACCCCAGGTCCCTATTATGTCACTGGATGTATAGACATATATCTCTAGCCCAGACTCCTGCTGCTGGCTAGGCAAATCCTTTGACGCAAACTGGCCTGTGTTATTTTTTGTGGTGGTGGTTATGTTGTCCAGTGGCTATAGGCTGGAGTCCAGGGGTGGCTAAAGGCTGGAGTCCAGGGGTGGCTAAAGGCTGGAGTCCAGGGGTGGCTATAGGCTGGAGTCCAGGGGTGGCTATAGGCTGGAGTCCAGGGGTGGCTAAAGGCTGGAGTCCAGGGGTGGCTATAGGCTGGAGTCCAGGGGTGGCTAAAGGCTGGAGTCCAGGGGTGGCTATAGGCTGGAGTCCAGGGGTGGCTAAAGGCTGGAGTCCAGGGGTGGCTATAGGCTGGAGTCCAGGGGTGGCTATAGGCTGGAGTCCAGGGGTGGCTATAGGCTGGAGTCCAGGGGTGGCTATAGGCTGGAGTCCAGGGGTGGCTATAGGCTGGAGTCCAGGGGTGGCTATAGGCTGAGGTCCAGGGGTGGCTATAGTCTCGAGTACAGGGGTGGCTTAAGGCTGTATTACTGTTGACGGGGCCTGCTTGGTCAGTGGTACATGTCTTGAACAGAATGTATTTTCCAGTAAAAGTACTCTCGTGATCACAAGGTTGTGCATACATATGTAGATGGACGCCACATACATACACGTGCAGGACCTGCTCACATGCACTCATGGCTCAGACACAATTGGCTGGGGTGTGTGTAGAGTCTTAATAATTAGTCATTTAGCAGACGCTCTTATCCAGAGCGACTTACAGGAGCAATTAGGGTTAAGTGCCTTGCTCAAGGGCACATCGACAGATTTTTCACCTAGTCGGCTCGGGGATTAGAACCAGCGACCTTTCGGTTACTGGCACAACGCTCTTAACCACTAAGCTACCTGCCGCCCTCCTTGGCTGGGAGCTGGTTTGGTGTGCCTGAGGAGCCTTGGGAATCAGAGTTCACGCTGGGTGGCTTTGCACTAAGCTGCTTTCCTGTGGGCCCAGTGCAGCCCGCGGCTGGTTGCCTGAGAGAGAATGAGTGTTGTTGTTTGTGCTGGTAATATACCCAGAGAGCTGGAGACTTGCTAGACAGTAGTAAGAACCTGAGTCTCAAACCACAGACCAGCAGCTTACACTGGCTTGCTATATGAAAGACTTACTCCTTTAGCACCCTTATAGAGGGGCTAGCTACTCATTGTGGGTTACAAATTGACTAGGCAAGTAAGGGTTGTGAGCATGATGTAGCTAAATATACTGGAATACGCAGTGGTGTAGCTGACGTGAAGAATTTGTCCTATTCAACTTTTGGGTTTTTGATTTGGATTGGATTCAAGCTGGAAATAATATTGTGTGGCATTGGCATACTAGGCTAAGCCCCCAAAGCACTGTCTTTAAAACAAAGGAAATGCTGGAAAGCCTGACCAAGGACCTCACGATACCATATTATCACAATACTTAGGTGCCGATACAATATACAGTATATTGTGATTCTCACGATTCTATATGTATAAAAGTGCTGAAAACAAATTGGCTCCCTATTTAAAAAGAAGACTGAGAACAAGATATTTGAAGGAAAAATACTGGAGTTTTTGTACAGTCGAGTAGAGCAAAAATAATGTTGTGATATTGTCAAAAAGAATATTGCAATATATATCGTAAAAGATTATATCCCAACATTCCCCCCCATCACCATGAATGAGTACTAGCAATTAAGCCCTCCTCCAGCATGCTTGAGTGTTGCTATTGGATTGTGATGGTTTGGGGTGTTTCTAGACTGTGTATGTGAGCGCTGCCAGCGTATGCTGCATTGGTGTGATGATTTTGTGACGGTGGTGGGTTGTGTGTGACCTGTGTTCAGTGTCTGATGTGGGGGTGTGCTCATTGTTGTGGTGTGTCCATGTGTTTTGCTATGTGCAGCACCGGAGCTTTGGCACCAATCAGGGGATGCCAGTCCATCAGTCTGTCCCTGCCTCTCTCTGGCTCCACCCTCCAGCCCTGCCATGCTTCAACAACCAACCGTGTGTTACCATAATCTAACACTAGGTTGTGTTTTGTGCTCTTATCCCCCGAACCATCATCTTCCTCTCTTTCTACTCTCTCTCTTTTTCCCCATGCCTCTGCTTTGCTCACCCAACTCGGCTGCTTCTACCCTCGTTCCCATTGGCTGGTTTCCCTGCGCTGTGATGACTGTGTCCTTTACCAGAGTGTCACCTGTGTCCTCGCTCAGCCTCGGCCAGCCCCCTGAACCCAATGCAGCGAGAACCCCTGCGCAGCCGCATCATCGACCGGCAGAAGAGCGCCACCCTGCCCACCTCCGCCTCGGCAGACCAACTGAACCCCTCACTGGTGAGACGTCATGAATTTGGAAGACATATGAAGACATAGAATTAGCATTAATAGAATGGACATAGGGTCTGGTGCATGCATAGAGCACTTAGGACTAATGTGTTCATGTGCATGATGGAAAACTGTTAATGGGGGTGTGATCAGGTCTTGTCTCGACTGTTTAAATGTAGCGACTTAGTAGTCAGCTATGCATGCATAGTTTCTGCATTCTTAGCAGGGACAGTCCCCTCCCAGATCATCAAAATGAATTAAGGAGCAGGTGAAGGAGACAGTGGAAATGTAGGCCATGTAAAGGTGTGTGGGTTTTCTTCCCCAGAAGCCCTTTGGACACCGGGATGAAGTTACAGGAACAAGGTGCTTAAAGCCATGATAACACTATCTCGCCAAACCTGCAATGATCAAATCAAATCAAATCAAATTTTATTTATCACATGCGCCGAATACAACCTTACAGTGAAATGCTTACTTACAAACCCTTAACCAACAATGCAATTTTAAGAAAGAATACCAACAACAAAGAAATTATAAGAAATAAAAGTAACAAATAATTAAAGAACAGCAGTAAAATAACAATAGCGAGGCTATATACAGGGGGTACCGATACCGAGTCAATGTGTGGGGGCACAAGTTAGTTGAGATAATTGAGGTAATATATACATGTAGGTAGAGTTATTAAAGTGACTATGCATAGATAATAAACAGAGAGTAGTAGCAGCGAAAAAGAGAGTGGGGGATGCAAGTCTGGGTAGCCATTTGATAAGTGTAATTCAGAATGGACTGAACTCAGGTGTCTGCTATGGTGTCCTGAGCTCAAGCTTTTCCCATTGTTTCAGGTGAGGGATATAATAGCACATTTTGTATAAAGTTCAATGTCCCTGTGCTGTGAGCCAGGCTAGGCCCCCTAGTGGAGCCAGGCTAGGCCCCCTGGTGGAGCTAGGCTCCCTAGTGGAGCTAGGCTAGGCCCCCTGGTAAGCTAGGCCCCCTGGTGGAGCTAGGCTCCCTGGTGGAGCTAGACTAGGCCCCATGGTGGAGCTACAGTAGACTAGGCCCCCTGTTGGTAGGGGGTGCCAGAGCTACAGCTAGCTGTAGTGGAGTCATCAGAGATCTTCCTAGAGGAGGTGTTGACAGACTTGACAGACGGAGAGCGGTGCACCAGCTGGTTCTGCTTGGTCTTGCTGCCCATCGTCATGGAGCGGCTCCAATCTAAACAGGGTCAAAGATCAAATGAAGCAACTTCAGGAACACTCTCTATGAACCATATTTACATTTACATTTTAGTCACTTAGCAGACAGACTGCTTGGAGGTCCCTCTACTGTACCGGAGTAGTCACTGAGCCTGAATCGGCCACAGCACAGGTGGATCCTCCACTGCTTCCTCACATTCTCTTTCATCAGGCAGTGGAAGACAAAGATAAAGAACCCTGAAACACAGACGGAGAGGAGATAATGGGGCTTCTCTCTTTCTATCTCTCTCTCTCTGCCTGCCTGCCTGCCCAACCCCCCTCTCTCTATCTCTCTCTCTCACTCTCTATCTCTCTCTATCTCTCTCTCTATATATATCTCTCTCTCTATCTCTCTCTCTATCTCTCTCTATCTCTCTCTATATATATATATATATACAGTGGAGAAAAAAAGTATTTAGTCAGCCACCAATTGTGCAAGTTCTCCCACTTAAAAAGATGAGAGAGGCCTGTAATTTTCATCATAGGTACACGTCAACTATGACAGACAAAATGAGATTTTCTTTCTCCAGAAAATCACATTGTAGGATTTTTAATGAATTTATTTGCAAATTATGGTGGAAAATAAGTATTTGGTCAATAACAAAAGTTTCTCAATACTTTGTTATATACCCTTTGTTGGCAATGACACAGGTCAAACTATTTCTGTAAGTCTTCACAAGGTTTTCACACACTGTTGCTGGTATTTTGGCCCATTCCTCCATGCAGATCTCCTCTAGAGCAGTGATGTTTTGGGGCTGTCGCTGGGCAACACAGACTTTCAACTCCCTCCAAAGATTTTCTATGGGGTTGAGATCTGGAGACTGGCTAGGTCACTCCAGGACCTTGAAATGCTTCTTACGAAGCCACTCCTTCGTTGCCCGGGCGGTGTGTTTGGGATCATTGTCATGCTGAAAGACCCAGCCACGTTTCATCTTCAGTGCCCTTGCTGATGGAAGGAGGTTTTCACTCAAAATCTCACGATACATGGCCCCATTCATTCTTTCCTTTACACGGATCAGTCGTCCTGGTCCCTTTGCAGAAGAACAGCCCCAAACCATGATGTTTCCACCCCCATGCTTCACAGTAGGTATGGTGTTCTTTGGATGCAACTCAGCATTCTTTGTCCTCCAAACACGATGAGTTGAGTTTTTACCAAAAAGTTATATTTTGGTTTCATCTGACCATATGACATTCTCCCAATCCTCTTCTGGATCATCCAAATGCACTCTAGCAAACTTCAGACGGGCCTGGACATGTACTGGTTTAAGCAGGGGGACACGTCTGGCACTGCAGGATTTGAGTCCCTGGCGGCGTAGTGTGTTACTGATGGTAGGCTTTGTTACTTTGGTCCCAGCTCTCTGCAGGTCATTCACTAGGTCCCCCCGTGTGGTTCTGGGATTTTTGCTCACCGTTCTTGTGATCATTTTGACCCCACGGGGTGAGATCTTGCGTGGAGCCCCAGATCGAGGGAGATTATCAGTGGTCTTGTATGTCTTCCATTTCCTAATAATTGCTCCCACAGTTGATTTCTTCAAACCAAGCTGCTTACCTATTGCAGATTCAGTCTTCCCAGCCTGGTGCAGGTCTACAATTTTGTTTCTGGTGTCCTTTGACAGCTCTTTGGTCTTGGCCATAGTGGAGTTTGGAGTGTGACTGTTTGAGGTTGTGGACAGGTGTCTTTTATACTGATAACAAGCTCAAACAGGTGCCATTAATACAGGTAACGAGTGGAGGACAGAGGAGCCTCTTAAAGAAGAAGTTACAGGTCTGTGAGAGCCAGAAATCTTGCTTGTTTGTAGGTGACCAAATACTTATTTTCCACCATAATTTGCAAATAAATTCATTAAAAATCCTACAATGTGATTTTCTGGAGAAAAAAATTCTCAATTTGTCTGTCATAGTTGACGTGTACCTATGATGAAAATGGCAGGCCTCTCTCATCTTTTTAAGTGGGAGAACTTGCACAATTGGTGGCTGACTAAATACTTTTTTCCCCCACTGTATCTCTCTCTCTCTCTCTCTCTTCTCTCTCTCTCTCTCCTCTCTCTCTCTCTCTCCTCTCTCCTCTCGTCCTCTCTCGCTCCTCTCTATATATAATATTAGATATATTATATATATATATATCTCTCCCTCGCTCTCTCTCTCTCCTCTTCTCTCCCCTCTCCTCTCTCTCTCCTCTCTCCATTCTGCTCCTCTCCTTCTCTCTCTTCCCGCTCTCTCTCTCTCTCCCTCCCTATCTCCCAATCTTCCTCCCTCCTCATGCTCCTCGTCCTGCTGCTCTCTCCTCCCGATCATCTCCAATACCCTCGAGACTCATCTACCATCCTCCTGCGGTCCCTCACTCCAACCCGGATCTCCTCAACACTCCTGTTCCATCAATACTCGAAACCTGGTCATTCTCCCCTGAGAAATACAAATGGAGGCCCGTGCCAGCCTAATTTCCTGCCCAGGCATTCTCATGCAGCCGGTCAATTAACGGCAGCTCTGTTCCAAATTCCTTCTTCTTCTCTCAAAGGTCACCACTGTTATCGGGAAAAAACCACAACAAAGACTAAAGGGAAAAATCTTAATTACCTTGGTTGTTTTTGTTTTATACCCTTTTGAGGATTCCCATCTCCCGCTAACAATTTTTTCATTCACCAGCCAATAAAATGCTTTTCTAAATTTTCTAGTTTCGTTTCAGTGCCTTTCACTGCTTGGCCTTACCCCCCATGGCAAACCTTCTGGGAAAAACCTTAACTTTAAACATAAAAGGGCCCCTCCTTGGGGTTGGTAAAGAAGTATCACGGGCCCGGGGGGTTTTCTCAAGGGGGCACATTTTTTCCTTTCCCTTTTTCCCCCCCAAAATTTTTCTTTGGGGCCCCGTTTTTTTTGAAAAAACCCCCCCCCCTTTTTTTTTAAAAACCCCTTTTAAAAAAATTGGGGGCCCCCAAATTTCTTTTTTTTCCCCTTTTTTGCAAAAAAAAAAAAAAAAAAAATTTGGGCCCCAAAAAATTTTTTTTTCCCCCAGTCTTCCTTTTCCCCTCTCTTTTTTTTTTTCCCCCCCCCCCCCTTTTTTCCCTTTCCCTTTTTTTTTTTTTAAAATTCTCTCCCCCCCTTCTCTCTCCCCCTTTCTCTCCCCTCTCCCCTTCTCCCCCTCCTTCTCTCCTCCCCCCTTTTTTGTTTTTTTTCCCCTCCCTCTTCCTCCTCCTCTCTCCCTCTCCTCTCTCTCTCTCCGCTCTCCCCTCCTTCTCTCTTTTCCCCTCCCCTCTCTCTCCTCCCCTTTCCCCTCTAAATCCTTGCCCATCTCTCCTCTCGTTCTCTCTCTCTCTCACTCCTCGCTCATCTCCCTCCTCTCCTCGCCTCCCTCTTCTCTCTCTCGTCTCCCTCTCTCTTCGCATCTCTTCCTCTCGTGCTTCCCCCCCTCTCTCTCCTCTCTCTCTCTCTCTCCCTCTCTCGCTCTCCCAGACCTTCATTGTACAAAACACCAGTATATCGGTCCTCGTACCTTGCAGACTGTTGAGGACAGAGAAGAGGTAGAGCATAGGTACCCTGGCTGGTCCCCAGGTAAAGAAGGCTATTGGCCAGGTGAGACCCAATAGGAAGGTGAGACTGGCCACCGCTCTCAAATCATGCATGGCACAGCGCTTGTTTCCTGTTGCTGCAGGCTTATTGGTCTGCATGTGGCGGATTTGGACCAGCACCACAATGAACACGACCACGTTAAAAACCAGGACCAGCAGTACGAACGCCACGACCGTGACGTAGAAGAAAACATTACTCTGAATCCAACAGCTGAGAAGGGGGGGGGGGGGGGGGGGGGGGGGGGGGGGGGATGATTAATAACATGGATGTGATGAACTGCCACCCACCCCTATCAATAACATGTATCAGTAACACTGGTCAACTGGCCATGCAGCATACTCACAATGGCTCAGAGCCCCGTAGAGAGTCAAGGGAGGCCTCAGATAGAACACTGCCATAGGCATCCTTCTCTATGGCCAGGACCAGGCTGACTATCAACAGAGGAATGCCTGTGTGGAGACAGATAACTTTACCTGTTCATTCTATTACCTCATCAAACAGGTTCATCTAACCTGTTAGATCAGGGCCTGTGTAAAAGTTTCAATCACTGACTACAACACAAAAGCACTCAAAAGGAAATTAAATCACTGTAATTTACCTTGAATTGATTGATCGTTTTTTTCTATATTCAAGCAACTCTTTGAGGTAGATTACACAATCTCGACTCAATGCTCTCAACACAAATTTCAATGTCAATCCGACACAAGCAAATAAAAAATGACAATTGTAGTCATACAATTCTTACTCTTCAAGATTTTAATACAAGTGTCCTTATTTGCCTCAGACTGCCTTGGCTTACCCCAGCCGATGGCGCAGAACTTCTGGATGTAGAAAGGGACGTAGACGTTGAAGACCTTGACCAGAGCAAAGTACATGTGGACGGCCTCCAGGCCCATCCAGGTGAATGAGGCTAACAGGAAGTAGTGCAGCGTGGCTGCCGTGGTGATGCAGAGACTGTAGCTACCGAAGGAGGACAGCCAGGAGTCCAGCAGGAAGACTAGGTTGAGGCCCAGCAGAGCCACAGAGAGGTTGATGAGGATTTTAGAAGGGTAGTCGCTACGCAGCTTCCTGTGACGGAGTGGAAAGGAGAGAGAGGGAGCGAGAGAGAGGCGAGAGGCGAGAGAAAGAGAGAGAGAGGAGCACGTGAGAGAGAGAGAGAGAGAGAGAGAGAGAGAAAAGAGACAGGAGAGAGAGAGAAAGAGAGAGAAAAGAGACAGAGGAGAGAGAGAGAGAGAGAGAGATAAGAGAGAGAGAAGAGAGAAAGAGAGAGATAGGATTAGAGGTATATATCTATAGATGAATAGACCCTCTTCTCCTCTCTTCTTCTCTCTCCCTCTCTCCCTTTCTTCTCTCTCGCTTCCCTCGCTTCTCCTCTCGCTCCCTCCTCTTCCATCGCTAGAGGATAAAAAGGCGAGAGAAGAGAGAGAAAGAACCTAGTCTGTAGTCATATCAACAACTAGTCTGCCCTGTGTGTCCCATCCATTAATCTGCCTGCTTGTCTATCTGTACTATCTGTCTGGAGGCTGACTTACTCAAAGACCACGTAGGTGAGCAGGCTGATGCCCAGAAAGATGGAGGACACACCACAGCCCAGATAGGAGATGACAGTCAGGATTTCCTGGTCAGCCTCACTGATAGGAGTCCTGGACACATCCTGTAGAACACCACAGAGGTCAAATGTCAATAGGAGCCTAATACACTGCTCAAAAAAATAAAGGGAACACTAAAATAACACATCCTAGATCTGAATGAATGAAATAATCGTATTAAATACTTTTTTCTTTACATAGTTGAATGTGCTGACAACAAAATCACGCAAAAATTATCAATGGAAATCAAATGTATCAACCCATGGAGGTCTGGATTTGGAGTCACCCTCAAAATTTAAGTGGAAAACCACACTACAGGCTGATCCAACTTTGATGTAATGTCCTTAAAACAAGTCAAAATGAGGCTCAGTAGGGTGTGGCCTCCACGTGCCTGTATGACCTCCCTACAACGCCTGGGCATGCTCCTGATGAGGTGGCGGATGGTCTCCTGAGGGATCTCCTCCCAGACCTGGTCTAAAGCATCCGCCAACTCCTGGACAGTCTGTGGTTCAACGTGGCGTTGGTGGATGGAGCGAGACATGATGTCCCAGATGTGCTCAATTGGATTCAGGTCTGGGGAACGGGCGGGCCAGTCCATAGCATCAATGCCTTCCTCTTGCAGGAACTGCTGACACACTCCAGCCACATGAGGTCTAGCATTGTCTTGCATTAGGAGGAACCCAGGGCCAACCGCACCAGCATATGGTCTCACAAGGGGTCTGAGGATCTCATCTCGGTACCTAATGGCAGTCAGGCTACCTCTGGCGAGCACATGGAGGGCTGTGCGGCCCCCCAAAGAAATGCCACCCCACACCATGACTGACCCACCGCCAAACCGGTCATGCTGGAGGATGTAGAACGTTCTCCACGGTGTCTCCAGACTCTGTCACGTCTGTCACGTGCTCAGTGTGAACCTGCTTTCATCTGTGAAGAGCACAGGGCGCCAGTGGCGAATTTGCCAATCTTGGTGTTCTCTGGCAAATGCCAAACATCCTGCATGGTGTTGGGCTGTAAGTACAACCCCCACCTGTGGACGTCGGGCCCTCATACCACCCTCATGGAGTCTGTTTCTGACCGTTTGAGCAGACACATGCACATTTGTGGCCTGCTGGAGGTCATTTTGCAGGGCTCTGGCAGTGCTCCTCCTGCTCCTCCTTGCACAAAGGCGGAGGTAGCAGTCCTGCTGCTGGGTTGTTGCCCTCCTACGGCCTCCTCCACGTCTCCTGATGTACTGGCCTGTCTCCTGGTAGCGCCTCCATGCTCTGGACACTACGCTGACAGACACAGCAAACCTTCTTGCCACAGTTCGCATTGATGTGCCATCCTGGATGAGCTGCATTACCTGAGCCACTTGTGTAGGTTGTAGACTCCGTCTCATGCTACCACTAGAGTGAAAGCACCGCCAGCATTCAAAAGTGACCAAAACATCAGCCAGGAAGCATAGGAACTGAGAAGTGGTCTGTGGTCACCACCTGCAAAACCAGTCCTTTATTGGGGGTGTCTTGCTAATTGCCTATAATTTCCACCTGTTGTCTATTCCATTTGCACAACAGCATGTGAAATGTATTGTCAATCAGTGTTGCTTCCTAAGTGGACAGTTTGATTTCACAGAAGTGTGATTGACTTGGAGTTACATTGTGTTGTTTAAGTGTTCCCTTTATTTTTTTGAGCAGTGTATATTAGTCCAGATGCACTGCACTGATGTCTTTTGTTTCCCTCAGTCTACAATAAAGGTGACTCACCAAGAGTACGCCAAAATGGGTCAGGTGGTAGCAGTGGCAGGTGGTCTGATAAGCGGAGATACTTGGAAGTGTCTCACAGCCGTTGCTGTCCCATCCACCGCTCCCATTGTTCTTCTGGAAGTCCCAATAGACACACTCCACCTTGTTGTTTTTCTGTTGGGGAAGCAAAGGGTGCAGCTAGTCAGGCTCTAAAGCGGAAACATCACTACGCTCAGTGGTAAGATGAAGCTATTTTTCATTCCTCACCTCTTTAGGCTTGAGGTGACTAAGTGTCACCACCACGGGATCCCTGAGGTTGCTGACATTGCTGTTGTTGACACTGGCAGACACCACGTAACTATTCAGCGTCCAATTGGTTGCTGGGTCCTGTGAATGATCATACAACTTTAACACTGAATTACTGTACATTTGCTACAAGCTTTCCTTCTAAATAAGAAAACCTCTGTTTCTATGTCAAACTGTTTTGTTATATTTCAGTCTTCTGTGATTTATATTAAGTGTAATATTGGGATGCAAACTCAAAATTGAATACATTTCAATTCTATATCTGACATGGTACATTATTTTATTTTTTTAAGCCCATAACCGTGTGTGAGGTATATACTTTTGATTCAAAGTAGATTTGTTTAAGACTACCAAGAATCACTCTGCGCGACCCTGATTTAGCCCACTGAAGTAAAAGGTTATTAATTAATAATTAACCAAAAATCATGATGCACCTCAAATGTTGACGACATCAAGCCATTCTTAACCAGGTACCTTGAAAAGCTCCTGTATGCCATAGAAGTGGAACTGAACTCTCTTTTTTTTGTTTCCCTGGGGGAAGAAGTTGTGAAGGGCCTGTGGAAGGGAGATGGATGCGACTGTGCCGTCGCAAGGCTGACTCAGGAATATCTGGTTGACAAAGATCTACAACAGAAAGAGGTGTACAAATAATCAAAACGTATGTACAATGACTTATTGAAGTCGACAAATATAACTCTATTTCATCATGGAACTAAAGGTCCTTGTTCATTGCACCACAGTGACACTGGACACGTGTTGGAATAAACAATGTTCTTGTAAAGCAATGTTCTTGTTCCTGTAAATCGTCATAGTTTCATTACTATTCGTTGTTTCGGCACAGTTGAAATGAATGCTACAGATTTAGGATCTTATTTTGATCACCCTGTTGCAGGAGAGCTTTCCTGCAATGCAGGACATGTACAACTTGTAATGTCCACATAATAATTCACATTTCCTGTAGCTGCAGGATAATTTTTCTGCTGTAGCAAACTGGCTCAAATTAAGATTCTACACCTGTAGAGGCTAGGATCGCTCCGAGAAACCTTTTCCTTTTTCCCAATAACATCTGCATGTGTCCTACATTTCTCTGTTCACTTAAGGACATGCCTTCATTTGAATGGAATAAAAACAGTCCAGTCAATCATGTCATTGATTTTCAGTAAGGAAGAGCTCAGTATGTCACAGGGAGCAAAAAAGAACAGGACATTTATATTGACATATTGACAAGACAGGTATTTGACTGCACTGCTGGAGCATAGACACTGTATCTCTGAGTTGTGATACTCACTGTCTGCCAGTCAAATCCAGAATGTGCTTGACCAAACAATTGGGTCTTATTACAATTTTACCTCTGGAACCAGGCCAGTCGAAAACGAGGACACACCAAACGTGAGGCCCTGGAACTGGACTGGATCTACGTTGATCATGGAGAGAGCCAGGGAAGGGACCGTCACATTTAGTAACTCCTCAGGGAAATCCATCTGGTCCCCAACGCTGTCTGTGATACCCAGAATGCTGTTGGGAACATGATGGAAAATGTGAGTGACAGATTTGTCATAAAAGACAGCAGAGGAGGAAGAAAATAAACAGGTGACATCAGAAAATGAGGAAATATTACAACCATATTCCCTCTCCCCATTGCCCCTTCCCCTTACTCGTTGGCGACCGCTGACAGGTCAGAATTGGACCCCAGGATGTCAGCGATGATGTTGACGATATCCCCGCCGAGCTGAGGGGTCACCGTGCTGACCCCCAGAACCTCATCCAGCTTCTGGACCACGGTGGCCAGCTGGGAGTCACTCAGGTCCCCCTCGTCACCCAGGAGGTCCTTAATCATGTCCACCACATCTGCTGAGTTGTCTGGGAGGAAAGGACACTAAGTCCAATGTTATGTAACACACTGCACTTTGTAATATTTCAATATAATACTACTGAAAAACACAGGGAAATCAATAGGCTAGGGAAGAACATGCATGCCGTAGCTACAGTACAATACATAACAAATGACTGTTATTTCACCAGAACCTAGTCACTGGTATTTAGACTGCACAAGGCACTTACTTGCTGTGACAGTGACTTTATCCAGATCAGAGATGGTGATCACCAGCTTGCATGCCTTCAGGTTTGGCTTAGCCCATTTGGCTTTCTCAGTCACTCCATCCAACTCACTAAAGTGAAGAAGGAGAAAAAAGAGATGAAGGTGAAATGAGCAGAAGACGAGAGGACCAGTCTTGTCTTGTTCTGATCTGTAGTCAATAACCAATTTGTTACTATTTTGCATAATTGCACAAAGATCTTGACGTTTCAGAGAGGAGGGTGGGCCAAGGAGGCATCATGGGAAACGTAAGTCAAAGGGCTTTCCTTCAATTATAGGTGATGATCCTTTTCTTTCCCTTTACCTTCAGTAAACCTTCCTGTGGGATGCTTCATAAACATTGACACAATATATCACTGCTTGCATAACACACACTAGGACAATGTTTCACTCTGACAGCAGAGGCGTTCCGTTCACCCAATTCAATTGAAGGAAATTGATTCTTGCTTTGATTGCTTGCACTGAGAGATCCACCAGTGTCATCTCTATGACTGAGTGATTGTGTGCACATAGGTAAGAGCGTGTGGAACAGAGTTGTATTGAGTGTATAGTAGACATTTGAAGGATCGCTTCACTGAGCTGTCTCTATGGCAACAGGTGATTTTACCCATAGAAATATGATTTTAGCTCTGACTGTAGTCACAGCTCTGGTGTCGAACAGGTAAAAAGGTGACTATCATCATCATTCTAAGAAGTCATATTCTGAATCCTCAGAAAGATGAATAGGGCTAAGATGATTCAGCAAGGAACTGTTTGTTTGAATAAAGCTTAACAAGATCTACTGTACCATGGAATATAATGCACATCATTTTACTTCACAGTATCTACGTATATAAACCACAATTTATGGTACTCCCACCATCATCAATACAGCCTTGAGATTTTCTGACTCATTGTTGCAAATGTAACGTTAGCTGGGCCTTTCACCATTTCCTGGAAGCCCTTGATCCATGGTTCTTCTCACAGATCATAGTTTCTGTCATCTGGGCCTCTGTGATTGGCCATATATACACTCCCCGGAAACTCTCATGGGTGTCCTCAGGACAGCTCCCTGGATCTGGAGAGGGGAAAGGAGGTTAATAAGTCAGGCACCTTCCTTCCTCCTTTCTTTCTTTCTTTCTTTCTTTCTTTCTTTCTCTTTTTCTCTCTTTCTCTCTTTCTTTCTTTCTGCCTCCCTTCTTAAAGTACGGTCTGATCTGAGAAAGTATGATTGGTGACAGCAGTAGGGTGGACACCATTCATTCACTTATCAAGTCTAATATACAGTACCAGTCAAAAGTTTGGACACACCTACTCATTCAAGGGTTTTTCTTTATTTTTACTATTTCCTACATTGTAGAATAATAGTGAAGACGTCAAATCTATAAAATAACACATATGGAATCATGTAGTAACCAAAAAAGTGTTAAACAAATCAAAATATATTTATATTTGAGATTCTTCAAAGTAGCCACCCCTTTGCCTTGATGACAGCTTTGCACACTCTTGGCATTCTCTCAACCAGCTTCATGGGGTAGTCACCTGGAATGCATTTCAATTAACAGGTGTGCCTTGTTAAAAGTTAATTTGTGGAATTTCTTTCCTTCTTAATGTGTTTGAGCCAATCAGTTGTGTTGTGAAAAGGTAGGGGTGGTATACAGAAGATAGCCCTATTTGGTAAAAGATCAAGTCCATATTATGGCAAGAACAGCTCAAATAAGCAAAGAGAAACAACAGTCCATCATTACTTTAAGACATGAAGGTCAGTGAATCAGGAACATTTCAAGAATTTCAAGTTTCTTCAAATGCAGTTGCAAAAACCATCAAGCGCTATGATGAAACTGGCTCTCATGAGGACCGCCACAGGAAAGGAAGACCCAGAGTTACCTCTGCTGCAGAGGATAAGTTCATTAGAGTTAACTGCACCTCAGATTGCAGCCCAAATAAATGCTTCACAGAGTTCAAGTAACAGACACATCTCAACATCAACTGTTCAGAGGAGACTGCGTGAATCAGGGAGACTGCGTGAATCAGTCCTTCATGGTCGAATTGCTGCAAAGAAACCACTACTAAAGGACACCAATAAGAAGAAGAGACTTGCTTGGGCCAAGCAACATGAGCGATGGACATTAGACCGGTGGAAATCTGTCCTTTGGTCTGATGAGTCCAAATTTGAGATTTTTGGTTCCAACCGCCGTGTCTTTGTGAGACGCAGAGTAGGTGAACAGATGATCTCTGCATGTGTGGTTCCCACCGTGAACCATGGAGGAGGAGGTGTTATGGTGTGGGGGTGCTTTGCTGGTGACACAGTCTGTGATTTATTTAGAATTCAAGGCACACTTAACCAGCATGGCTACCACAGCATTCTGCAGCGATGTGCCATCCCATCTTGTTTGAGCTTAGTGGGACTATCATTTGTTTTTCAACAGGACAATGACCCAACACACCTCCAGGCTATGTAAGGGCAATTTGACCAAGAAGGAGAGTGATGGAGTGGTGCATCAGATGACCTGGCCTCCAAAATCACCCGACGTCAACCTAATTGAGATGGTTTTGGATGAGTTGGACCGCAGAGTGAAGGAAAAGCAGCCAACAAGTGCTCAGCATATGTGGGAACTCCTTCAAGACTGTTGGAAAAGCATTCCAGGTGAAGCTGGTTGAGAGAATATCAAGAGTGTGCAAAGCTGTCATCAAGGTAAAGGGTGGCTACTTTGAAGAATCTAAAATCTAAAATATATGTTTAACACTTTTTTGGTTACTACATGATTCCATATGTGTTATTTCATAGTTTTGATGTCTTCACTATTATTCTACAATGTAGATATATAAAGAGTAGGTGTGTCCAAACTTTTGACTGGTACTGTAGATCAGCAAATCGAATACAGATGGAGGAAAGGTTAAAGGTTAGCCATACTGTACCTATATGTGAGATGTGGACGTCTCTGCGGTCTACCTGGATCTCTTCATCAACATGGTTCACAGACAGAAGGTCAGTGATGAGTGTTTGAGTGGTTGTGACGTTCCGTGCGTCAGTATCCTCAACCTGGAAGGTACATCTAAACCTACAGACAAAATGGAGGATGAAAACCCAAAACCAACCTGGCAACTACCAGATGCAGTAAACAAATGGTTACTGTAATGTCAACAGCATACTAAAACAAGTTGGGGAAAAAACAAAACATGTTGGTATCAATATCTATGAAGACTACATAAGAAATAATGACAAAATTGTCATCTCTTACCCTTTGTCATGTCTCAGCTCAGCAGTCTAACACAGAAGACACCACAATTAAATATTCACTATACATCTTACTTAGACAAACACAATTCATGGCTAGTAGGCAATCATTTGTTTACTCATATTGAAAGTTATATACTTACAGTGTGGTAATAAAGATTATGCTAATTAATTTTCGCAATAGTATAGCTGGTTCCTTACTGCAGTGATTATGATTAAATGTAATTACACCCTAAATCAATTTCCATTGTTGATACATGCCAAAATCAAAAAACATACTCACCATCTCCAGTCCAGTCTTTTTATGATCATTGACTCTACAACAAAAACACATGGAACAATACTGTACATAAGCCACCTATAAAAGGCACACCTCAGAGTCTTGTTTTTGCTATGCTACGCAACATGTCATAATGTAGGTAATGCCAGGACTTACTTATAAGTCGAGTTTAACGTTTTGAAATTTAACACGTTCATCTTGGCTTTCCCAAGCTTTCTCTGAACCTGTAACCCAGACAAAAATACGCTGTATCAACCGTTAGGCTGAAGAGAATGTTATTGTACGTTTATCATCCTCCAGTGCCAATGCTGTTGTGTTTCTTACCCACTTCTGAATGGTCTCCCCTGGGTCGTTGCGAGTTACAGTAGTTGTCATATTCAGTTTCATATGAACTCTGTAGAAGGTGGATGCAATGCCTAATCACAGCATAACAGTGGAAATTATTGTACATTTGAACAGCCTTCATCTCTCAACCTAGATTTTACACACATGAAAAAATTAATAATTCAAAGCCAGTGATATTTTTCGATGAAGATTAAGCTTATTTGTAGCGTTAGCAGACTGTAATCAAATGTGTCTTATTGGCTGACCTGGTCCTGTGGAGTTGAAGTCTAAAGATTCTCTGGTTGTAGACAGGCCAGTAGGATCTGCAGGCACTCCAATGGATGGTTGCTGTGTCTCTGTAGGGGTTACAGGGTCTACAGACAAGAAACAAACCAGCTTCTTTAGAATAGATTGGTGAAAATGTAATGGAAGCCAATTTCAGGTCCTCCATAGTGCATAGCACTTCAGCATTTCTATTTTATGCAAGAACTGTGTCACCTGATGCAGTGGTGCTGGTTGGTGAGCCAGCTGTGGTGCTGGTTGGTGAGCCAACATTGGTGCTGGTTGGTGAGCCAGCAGTGGTGCTGGTTGGTGAAGCAACGGTGGTGCTGGTTGGTGAGCCAGCAGTGGTGCTGGTTGGTGAGCCAGCAGTGGTGCTGGTTGGTGAACCAGCAGTGGTGTTGGTGACAGTGGGAGGAGAAGCTGTCGCGTTGGGGAAAGCCCCTGTGAAGAACGAGTGAGATATTACACAACGGTGTGCATAACAGCGTGCAAAAATGTGAATGTGCATTCCATTTGCGTCCATGTGCATGTGTGGGCATGCTATTTGTATTTGTGTGAATATGTATGTGTGAGTTTGTGTGTGTGTGTGTGTGTACCCACCTATGGGGCGTACACTGAGGCTGCTGGGGTCTGCGATAAGGGTGACTTGGCTAGAGTTGAAGGCTAGACTCAGCTTTCCAAAGATCTCAGCCTGGGCCACTCCAACATCAGTCTCAGGACTAACACTCACATAGACCAGACAGCTGACACTGTGGAGAGAGACACTACAGTGAAGCAACACAACATCAGACCAGAAACTATAATGTCCATTATGCATCCTCATGCTGGCATACTAGTTTCCTGAGGAAGATTACTTATACATTTTCCTCGTACCACTTGTCAGAAGTTGAGTTGAACTCAATTTTTCTTGATTCCTGTAAACAAACACATATTTATGATTTTAGTTCTAACTTGTAAGATCTCTTAATTACAAGGCACCTATGTGTTCATGAGTTTACATTTCCCCTCGTCCGTGACCTGACAACAGGGTTTACCATGAAAGCCTGTCTGACAGTTTCCTGTCTGTCCTATTGAATAACAATGTTATCTGGAGAGCCCTTCAGTGCTGTCCCTATCAGCACGGTGCTTCTCTGAGGATATTGCAGTCTTCATTATGGAAAATCAAATTGAGGCACTGGATAGTGACGTACCTGAGTTTTCTCTGTGTCTCGCACAATAGGATTATTGCCCACTTGGCAGACCCGGCTGTGTGGGAACAGAGATAGCACTAGAGATTAGGCTAAGGGACATGTGTCCACACATTGTTCATTTCAATGTTCTAGGTTGCTTCAAAACACACACACACACACACACATAATCTAAACTCACACAAGTTGAAAGTCTTAACAGTGTTCCTCTTCAGGTTGGTTTCTCATATAGATATGGTTTCTCTATGATAGTGCACGCACACACGCACATACAAGCACCCACAAACATACAAGCACCCACAAACATACATGCACACTTGCACACACGTACGCACGTACTCACGCACACACATACACACACACACCCCATTCAAGCAATGCTGTACATTATATTCCAATGGACAATTCCGTTCAATTGACAAATGAAACTACCTTGGAGATGACACCAAGATGTCACGCACAGAAATGCTCCCAGGAAATATGGTCTCCAGCTGATGGAAAATGATAAAAGAGACAAATAGGGTTAATATTCAACTGGGATTGTTTGCTTGAAGACTGAACAATGCTGATATCATGGCAACTTTATGTAATTGAAAAAGCAATCCTTTATCATATTCTTCGTACCCATTTGCGTATGATCTCCTCTGGTGAATTTACAGGCTTGTCAAGAGGGTGCCGTTGTGCTATGATGACCTTCATTTTGATTTTGAACATTGACCATGCTGAGAAAGGTGCCAGAGACAATCCAAGACAGGGCGTTAATTAGATATTCCATTATACAAAGCACAGATATTCCCTCACACATTATATCATGGGGATGAAATCTCCTTACCTACTCAAAGAACCTTTACTGTATATTTTTTACCTTTACTGTATATTTACTAACTGTAAGTCGCTCTGGATAAGAGCGTCTGCTAAATGACTAAAATGTAAATGTAAATGTATTTGTTCAATGGGGCTCTTTGAATAGAATAGAATGGTGCCCAGGGCTGCCTTTCTCAATAGGTCTCAAAATAGGACCCGCAATAGAATATAGTAGAACACAATAAGTACGGAAGCTAACCACACTGGAGGCTAAAGTCATCTTCAAGTAGGCAGGTCTGGTAGTCCCAGTCGCGGGTGTCCCAGCTCACCACGTTCCCATCGGCACAGCTATGGGCCCTCAGCTCCTCAGCCGTCTGCTCCCGCCCCCACATCCTGAACAGGCTGATGTCCCCCAGGAAGTTCTTCCCATCCTCAAACTCCATCACCCCATCCACTATGTTATGGGACACCCCCAGGGTCAGGGTGCCATTGTGGGCCAGTCGCCGGGGCAGGCTGGCGTTAACATGGGCGTCCAGGCGACTGCTCCCGTTGATGTAGAGCCGGAGCCTCTCTGGGTTGATGGACCAGGTGAGGCAGACGTTGTGCCAGCGTTCCAGGGGCAGGTCCTCAGGTACGGACCACTCCTGTCCAAACAGCCATGCCACCAGGAGCCCTCCTCGGCCTGCCAGCCCCAGCTCTACCTGTCTCTCGCCAGGCGCCTTGTACACAAAGCCTGTCCACTCTGCTGTCGCAATCTTCCGGCGCAGGTGCACACACACACTGAGCTCTTCCAGGGGGGGCATTACACACTCCTTACCCAGCTGCCACACACATGGACGGCCCAAGAACACCGCCTTCTTACCCCACAGGCTGGGGCTCGGGGAGCCTGGCACAGACACAGAACCAACGTTACACACTGACATTGGACATTTTGGGGACAATTGGATAAAACCTCCTTTAGTGGAGTTCAGTCTTCAGCCATAATGCATTCTATTGATACTACTTTTACACTAATGTTTATACAATTGCTTCATAATCACTTTATTAAATATGTGTATGCGACCAATACAATTTGATTTGATTTATTTACAGCCATACCGGAACTTGGAAGACAGGTGGTTGCCAGTACCCACAAACACACGGTTATGAAACAGGGCCTCGTGGCAGTATCCATCACCAGTCTAAAACAGAAGAGGAATATCTCTCCATGTAAATATCATGTCAGAAAAGGGGAACAGTGAAGTCTATCTGCAAATAGAACCGTTATCAGACAAGAGTACAATATACATGCAAACAAAACTATGACTTGCCTGTGTCATCCCCCAGTCCAAAAAACAATGTCCTTTACCAGATAAAACAAGCAAATGAGAGTTTAAGAAAACTGTCTCTTACATGTCTATAACACCAAATGGAAGGTTAAGAGAAAAGGTTGACCTCCTGGGATAATTGTCTTTGGTGAATGAGGGAGACTTTAGTGTATTTCTCTATAAGAAGACCTCCACGCCCTCTCCTTTTGTACCCTGGCTTACTTATTAATCAGACACAGAGCAATAAACATAACTAAGGCAACAGAAGGCAGACTGACCATGATATCTACAACTTTAGCTCTTCAAATATGGATATATATACAAATTCTACCCAACTTAGAATTCTACCCAATGTATGTGAAAGGCTTTGGTGAATGGTTTTGGGGATTTACTTGGTCCTGTCACTATATTCTGACTATAATACATATTCCTGTTGATTGGTATGGAGCTAACAGACAGACAGGTCCAGAGAATGAGTCAGGGGTGTTGGGAAACTGCCTTGTGCCTTGACATCTTATACAATGGGTGGGTCTAATCCTGGATCCTGATTGGTTAAAACTGCATTCGAGACAGTGTCTATTCCACAAGTTACCACTGGCTAAATCTATTATGTTAAAATGCCTATTTACTCTGTTCCGTCTGATTGTGCAATCCACTGTCTCATCAACTCAGCCAGGCAATGTATATACTAGATCTACACTGTAAAGAGCATCTAGACATTTTCTCCCATTTCTTTTAGACTAGCATTTGGTTTTCCACAGCGGAGATTTGTAATAACCTTGCTGTCTGTCTCCCTGAAATGTGCAGCATTGTTTCAGTATTGAAATTTGATCTCCACTAGCGCATCGTGGAACACACCTTCCAAGTCGTTCATTATTTTCCATAGAACGCAAAGCCTCTTGTTGATCATCCCTTATGTAATGTACACAACATCTGCGTTTATCCCTTACTTATCTAGTCACTTTGCTCTACTATAAGTACATATCTACCATTGGAGGCTGGTGGGAGGAGCTATAGGAGGACGGGCTCATTGTAATGGCCGGAATGGAATTAATGGAACGGTATCAAACGGTGTTTGACTCCGTTCTATTGATTCCATTCCGGCCATTACAATGAGCCCGTCCTCCTATAGCTCCTTCCACCAGCCTCCACTGATATCTACTTAAATTACCTCATACCCTTGCACATCGACTTGGTACTGGTACCCTGGATATATAGCCAAGTTATATAATTGTTTATTTATTTATTGTGTTATTATTTTTCTATTTATTCATTGTGTTATTTTATTTTCTTTTTCTTTTTACATTATTTTTATTATTTCTCCAAAAACAATTCTCTCTGCATTGTTGGAAAAGGACCCGTCAGTAAGCATTTCACTGTTCATCTACACCTGTTCTTTATGAAGCATGTGACAAATAAAATGTGATTTGATTTGAAATACTTGGTCACGGTAAAGTTGCTTATTATTTTGCTGTTTCCCTCTCAAATTTAGATTCATGTTCATATTTAGGAAAATCTTTCTAATAATAGTGACATAATTTGAATGCAAATTCAAGATTCTTAATAGCCCGCTGACATGACATGACTTAATTTGAAAGTGAAAACACCATGCCGACTGCTATAGGAACTGAAATAGGAGACTATTTACTATAATTGGAGAGAAGAAGAGTTGAATCAATCCTGTATGATGGTACAGGATGTGCTTAGTCTGAGAATTAGAGGAAATATATAGACTATAGAGTGTGTGATTGTGCATGTGTCCACATGTACTACATGTGTGCGTGAATTTATGTGTGTGTGTATGCCTTAGTCATAAATGTTGTCCAATCATCGGTGGCAGTGTTCTCATTTAGGTTTCCAGTTCAGATAACTCCTCAAACAAATCGAATTCGTTTTCCTGAGAGTGACCTTTTGATATAAAGGTAATGGCTTTACTCCCCTGAGCCTTACACCACCACCTAGTGGGCATTTAGTGTACTGTTGCCTTCAAGGTACAGCACTTTTCAATGTTTGAGCCTTTTCTGTTTCGTTAATTGACCGTTTATGAATTGTTTCACAGTGAGTTCCTCATCTTTCACCCATTTCTCTATATCATCTGAGATACAGTGCATGAGGAGCAGGACCCATGGAGGCACACACACACATACACATGCTTTCTTTGTATGAAACAGAGAGCTATATTCTTCCACTATCACAGCTCATCTGCTCGCTCTTCCCCTCCTTGACCTTATAGAACCAGCCTCCAGAGAGGTCTTCCCAGCCAGGTCGAGACCAGGGGGAACCTGAGAAGAGCAGCCGTGACGTAGGCTCCAGGTGGGCAGCAGCAGCCCCACTGATCCCTTGCCTTCTATTGGCCTGAGAGGGCAGTAATGCTGCGTGGAGAAGGGGGGATTCCCATGAAGCTTTCCTACCACTGCAGGCCTACCTGTTGAGAGAGAGGGAGGGGTCTGAAGGGGAAAGGGGGCATGCCCCCCTCTCATTCTCATCTGCTGGGCTGAGTGTGGGTCTGCAATGTTGAGTAGTAGGCAGTTTGACTCAGTCTCCCGATACATGCTGGATGAATTCTACAGACCCATAAGGTTTGAGTGAGAACACACTGGGATGAAGCATATAGGTAATTTAGAATGATTATTGTTGTTCTTCTTAATACTGGCTCTTCTTCTTTGGTGTTTTATGGCAGTGTGCAGACCAACGTTAAGGTGCATTACCGCCACCTACCTGGCGTAAGTGTGATAGAGACTGGACTTTGGATATAATCGAAATTGGCTACAATGTAATTCATTATGAAATCACCTGTCATTGACAGAATATTTGTGACATTTTGTAAAAAACATGAGTTGAAACCCCTAGAGCTCTGCTGTGTTATGTTGTGGGGTCATTTCACCATACAGTTATGACAATAAAGGGTTTGTATGCATTGTGTTTCTCCACCGGCATCCTGTCTGCTGGCATAGTCTGAGCCCAGCTGTTATCAGACCCAGTTTCTACACTCTAATGGCAGTTGTGTGGACTGTCCTGTCTGTGGACCTGGGGAGCTAACAGACTTAACACATATAGCTACTGTGTGTGTGTGTGTGTGTGTGTGTGTGTGTGTGTGTGTGTGTGTGTGTGTGTGTGTGTGTGTGTGTGTGTGTGTGTCTGTCTGGCTCTACACCTGTGCTTCCTGTCCCAGGACTATGGGGATGGGGAGAGGGGGGCTGCTGTGTGCCATGTGCTGAGGGGCAGTTCAGTGCCTAGACTGGGTTGGCCCCCTACTGGCAGTGCACTCTGTGTATTCTGCTAAACCGCCAGTAGAGGGCAGCGTGCTCACCCACCAACAATCCCCAGTGTGGCAACTGCCTCCCAGGGTCCAATATCTATAGGGCACAGGTGGCTAGTGGCACCTTAATTGGGGAGGACAGACTCATAGTAATGGCAGGAACGGAATAAATGGAATGGTATCGACTCATCAAACACATGGTTTTTCACTCCACTAACTTTCAAGATAACCAAAGCCAAAAACCACTGTAATCTTAGAGAGCAGGAAGGAAACTTAGGATCTGTCATGATCATCCCCATAGGCCATGCTGCGTATGTCATTAGGTGTGGTGTTTATGTGTGGTGTTTATGTGTGGTGTTTATGTCAGGTATTATAAGCTCCTGAGGTGGACCTGAGGTGGACCTGTCGTGGACCTGAGGTGGACCTGTCGTGGACCTGAGGTGGACCTGTCGTGGACCTGAGGTAGACCTGAGGTGGACCTGTCGTGGACCTGAGGTGGACCTGTCGTGGACATGAGGTGGACCTGAGGTGGACCTGAGGTGGACCTGTCGTGGACATGAGGTGGACCTGTCGTGGACCTGAGGTGGACCTGTCGTGGACCTGAGGTAGACCTGAGGTGGACCTGTCGTGGACCTGAGGTGGACCTGTCGTGGACATGAGGTGGACCTGAGGTGGACCTGAGGTGGACCTGTCGTGCATGCCCTGTTACAGGCAAGGTCCGGAAAAACACCTCCACAGCAGGTAAGGTCCACAACCAGCCAACAGATTAATACTGTTTAGCAAACAACTACAACATCACCGTAAGCTTTCCACTGGTAGCTCCCATTGATATTCAAATGATTATTCTCAGAATGAGAATTAGTCAACAGAATTTCATTTGCTCAGAGTTGGCCATCACTATTTCCAGCAGAAGTTCCAAAGGAGTTACAGAGAACACTGAGTAATAGTACATGCATTCTTAAAACTAGTTGTGTAGATGAGGGTTATGTGTGTATTGTTGAGCTAGTGACGCTGTATACGGTCCAAGTCTCCATGGCTCTCATTGGTTCAGTGACTTGCCTCCTCGACCTACCTACTACTTCAGTGAGATTCAGTGAGTTTTGCCTTCACTATCAAACCATGGCTAACAACTGTACTCAATCTCACATTTTTCTCTTTTGTATTCACAAATGTGGTAATGAAATGTGCATTATATGTGTGATTTTTGTGGGGCATTCAGAGCAGGTTCCAATGTATTGGCCTGAAGGCCTACATTCTGAAGCAGACACAGCCTTCCCACGGAAAACACTCCTCTCCAACACCACAGAGACTGAAGAGAGACCACTAGTACCCCCCTCAGAGAGACCACCAGTACCCCCCTCAGAGAGACCACCAGTACCCCCTCGTGAGACCACCAGTACCCCCCTCAGAAAAAACACTAGTACCCCCCCTCAGAAAGAACACCAGTACCCCCCTCAGAGAGACCACTAGTACCCTCTAGTGAGACCACCAGTACCCCCCTCAGAGAGACCACCAGTACCCCCTCAGTGAGTCCACCAGTACCCCCCTCAGAGAGACCACCAGTACCCTCTTTTGTCATCAATGTCACCACCAACATCAAGGCCTCCCCTCAACATGGAGGTGAAGACATGGGAGGAGCAGAGAGGACGCTGTCACACACCAGAGGAAGTGCTGCATGTACTGTATGAGAGAGAGAGACATTTTAAATGTCTTTATTCTTTTGGAACTTTTGTGAGTGTTATGTTTACTGTAAAAAATATTTATTATCTATTTCACTTGCTTTGGCAATGTAAACATATGTTTCCCATGCCAATAAAGCTTTTAAATTGAAATTGAAGAGAGAGAGCGAGAGAGAGAGAGAGAGAGAGAGAGAGAGAGAGAGAGAGAGAGAGAGAGAGAGAGAGAGAGAGAGAGAGAGAGAGAGAGAGATCAGACACTAATAATAGTCTAACTAATTTGTTGATGGAACAACAACTGCTGGAAATCTGCACAGTTGCTCAAGGTACTGCAGGCTCTTCCATGTCGAACATGACGTTGAAATAAGAGAGAGAGAGAAAGAGAGATAATAAATGATGGTGGTGGTCAGCTATCCTGACTTCCTGAGATGATGTGTGACTCACCAGGATGTGCCAGTGTCTGCTTTGTTATCAGTTCAGAACGTTGCCACATATACAACTTTCTCTGCCCTGATCAAATAATACACTACTGTGGCCCACTAAATGCTGTTACACAATCAATTCGTGCCGTTGGATTTCTATATGAACACACAACCAACTGTATGTTTAAAAAAACTGAAATCAGGTTGAATTTATGTGTCAAACTGTTGACTAACAACTCTCCATCACTGCACTGACACCAATATTTAAGTTATTGACTGACACTGAACTCCTTGTCTTGGCCCAAGTCAGAGTGTGGAGGAGCTGGGTTATCCTGCTGGACTCAGGGGGCCGTGGCTGGGACAGAGGGGTGAGGATGCTGGGCTATTCCCTGGGTTTCCCACTGAGGTCCTTTCTAACCTCCATGGGTTCCAGGATCTGTTCCAGTACCTGCGCACCTCCACCCTACTGCTCCAACTGTCCGATGCCGCCGCCCTCATGTCGTTGCTAGCATACATCACGCTATGGTGGCCACTCACACGGTAGGGACATTTATTTATTGTTTATTTTTCCTTTATTTAACTAGGCAAGTCAGTTAAGAACAAATTCTTATTTACAATGACGGCCTACACCGGCCAAACCCGGACGACGCTGGGCCAATTGTGCGCTGCCCTATGGGACTCCCAATCACGGCCGGTTGTGATACAGCCTGGAATCGAACCAGGGGGTCTGTAGTGACGCCTCAAGCACTGAGATGCAGTACCTTAGACCACTGCTGATTTTGTACATTTGCCCACTGACAAAGAAATGATCAGTCTATAATTTTAATGGTAGGTTTTTTGAACAGTGAGAGACAGAATAACAACAACAAAAATCCAGAAAAACGCGTGTCAAAAATGTTATAAATTGATTTGCATTTTAATGAGGGAAATAAGTATTTGACCCCCTCTCAATCAGAAAGATTTCTGGCTCCCAGGTGTCTTTTATACAGGTAACGAGCTGAGATTAGGAGCACACTCTTAAAGGGAGTGCTCCTAATCTCAGTTTGTTACCTGTATAAAAGACACCTGTCCACAGAAGCAATCAATCAATCAGATTCCAAACTCTCCACCATGGCCAAGACCAAAGAGCTCTCCAAGGATGTCAGGGACAAGATTGTAGACCTAAACAAGGCTGGAATGGGCTACAAGACCATCGCCAAGCAGCTTGGTGAGAAGGTGACAACAGTGTGTGTGATTATTCGCAAATGGAAGAAACACAAAAGTACTGTCAATCTCCCTCGGCCTGGGGCTCCATGCAAGATCTCACCTCGTGGAGTTGCAATGATCATGAGAACGGTGAGCAATCAGCCCAGAATTACATGGGAGGATCTTGTCAATGATCTCAAGGCAGCTGGGACCTTAGTCACCAAGAAAACAATTGGTAACACACTACGCCGTGAAGGACTGAAATCCTGCAGCGCACGCAAGGTCCCCCTGCTCAAGAAAGCACATATACAGGGCCGTCTGAAGTTTGCCAATGAACATCTGAATGATTCAGAGGAGAACTGGGTGAAAGTGTTGTGGTCAGATGAGACCAAAATCGAGCTCTTTGGCATCAACTCAACTCGCCGTGTTTGGAGGAGGAGGAATGCTCCCTATGACCCCAAGAACACCATCCCCACCGTCAAACATGGAGGTGTAAACATTATGCTTTGGGGGTGTTTTTCTGCAAAGGGGACAGGACAACTCCACTGCATCAAAGGGACAATGGACGGGGCCATGTACCATCAAATCTTGGGTGAGAACCTCCTTCCCTCAGCCAGGGCATTGAAAATGGGTCGTGGATGGGTATTCCAGCATGACAATGACCCAAAACACACGGCCAAGGCAACAAAGGAGTGGCTCAAGAAGAAGCACATTAAGGTCCTGGAGTGGCCTAGCCAGTCTCCAGACCTTAATCCCATAGAAAATCAGTGGAGGGAGCTGAAGGTTCGAGTTGCCAAACGTCAGCCTCGAAACCTTAATGACTTGGAGAAGATCTGCAAAGAAGAGTGGGACAAAATCCCTCCTGAGATGTGTGCAAACCTGGTGGCCAACTACAAGAAACGTCTGACCTCTGTGATTGCCAACAAGGGTTTTGCCACCAAATACTAAAATTATAGACTGATCATGTCTTTGTCAGTGGGCAAACTTACAAAATCAGCATGGGATCAAATACTTTTTTCCCTCACTGTATACACTCCCCTACATGTTTACTTGGACAGTGAAGCTCAAACATTTCATTTGTCTCTATACTCCAGTATTTTGGATTTCAAAATCAAATCAAATCAAATTGTATTTGTCACATGCGCCGAATGTCACGCTCTGGCTCCGGGACTTTGTATGTTGAGCCAGGGTGTGTTCGTTTCGTTGTGTTCTGTTTGGTTGGGTTGTCTATGTGGTTGTTTCCTTGTTTGGTCGTGTGACTCCCAATCAGTGGTAACAAGTGTCAGCTGTCGGCTCGTTATCTCTGATTGGGAGCCATATTTAAACTGTGTGTTTTCACCTTGTGTTTGTGGGTTTTTGTTCCTGTACAGTCATTGTCACTGTGGACTTCACGTATCGTCATTTGTTTTGTTGTTTTCGTGTTAGGCTTTAATTAAATAAAGTCATGTTCGCTCAACGCGCTGCGCTTTGGTCTACTCATTCGTCAGACGATCGTGACAGAAAAACCCACCATTCTACGACCAAGCAGCGTGTCCAGGAACAGGCAGCCTGGACGTGGGAGCAGCGTCGGAGGGACGAGAGGCACCCCCAAGAAATTTTTAGGGGGGGGCACAGGGCATGGTCGACGGGGCTGACGGAGGCAGAGAAGGGGCGAATTCAAAAGGCCACCAGGTTACGGGGGCCACTGGTCAAAGTAGGGAAAGGAGGTTTAGAGGCACGGCGAGAGGTACTGGGGTGTGTTACCAGTCCGGTCCGGCCCGTTCCAGTTCCCGGAGTAGAGCCAGTGGTGTGTGTCCCCAGTACGGTCCGGCCTGTTACGGCCCCTCGCACCAAATGGACGGTGCGCGTCTCCAGCCCGGTCCGGCCTGTTCCTGCCTCTCGCACAAAGCCTACGGGGTGCGTCGCCAGCCCAGCCCGGCCTGTTCCTGCTCCACGCACAAAGCCTACGGGGTGCGTCGCCAGCCCAGCCCGGCCTGTTCCTGTTCCACGCACCAAGCCTACGGGGTGCGTCGCCAGCCCAGCCCGGCCTGTTCCTGCTCCACGCACAAAACCTACGGTGTGCGTCGCCAGCCCAGCCCGGCCTGTTCCTGTTCCACGCACCAAGCCTACGGGGTGCGTCGCCAGCCCAGCCCGGCCTGTTCCTGCGCCACGCACAAAACCTACGGTGTGCGTCGCCAGCCCAGCCCGGCCTGTTCCTGCTCCACGCACAAAGCCTACGGCGTGCGTCGCCAGCCCGACCCGGCCTGTTCTTGCCACTCGCACCAAACCAGGGGTGCGAGTCGCCAGCCTGGTCCAGCCCGTTCCTGCTACTCGCACCAAGCCAAGGGTGCGAGTCGTCAGCCTGGTCCAGCCCGTTCCTGCTACTCGCACCAAGCCAGGGGTACGAGTCGTCGGCCTGGTCCAGCCCGTTCCTGCTACTCGCACCAAGCCAAGGGTGCGAGTCGTCAGCCTGGTTCAGCTCGTCCCTGCTACTCGCACCAGGCCAAGGGTGCGAGTCGTCAGCCTGGTTCAGCTCGTCCCTGCTACTCGCACCAAGCCAAGGGTGCGAGCCGTCAGCCTGATCCAGCCCACTCCTGCTACTCGCACCAAGCCAGGGATGCGAGTCGTCAGCCTGGTGAGGCCCGTTCCGGCTCCACGCATCAAGCCTAGGGTGCGTATCGTCAGCCAGGTCCGGTCCGTTCCTGCCTCACGCGCCAAGCCAGGGGTGCTCGTCGTCAGTCCAGATCCTACCAGCTGGGTCAGATCGGACCGGGGGCGCTACGGGGGGATTGAAGAAGGGTGGTGGTCAAGCCCGGAGCCGGAGCCGCCTCCGAGGAGTAATGCCCACCCAGCCCTCCCCTGTTTGGGGTTTTTGAGGCGCGGTCGCAGTCCGCGCCTTTAGGGGGGGGTACTGTCACGCTCTGGCTCCGGGACTTTGTATGTTGAGCCAGGGTGTGTTCGTTTCGTTGTGTTCTGTTTGGTTGGGTTGTCTATGTGGTTGTTTCCTTGTTTGGTCGTGTGACTCCCAATCAGTGGTAACGAGTGTCAGCTGTCGGCTCGTTATCTCTGATTGGGAGCCATATTTAAACTGTGTGTTTTCACCTTGTGTTTGTGGGTTTTTGTTCCTGTACAGTCATTGTCACTGTGGACTTCACGTATCGTCATTTGTTTTGTTGTTTTCGTGTTAGGCTTTAATTAAATAAAGTCATGTTCGCTCAACGCGCTGCGCTTTGGTCTACTCATTCGTCAGACGATCGTGACACCGAATACAACATGTGTACACCTTACCGTGAAATGCTTACTTACAAGCCCTTAACCAACAATGCAGTTCAAGAAATAGAGTTAAGAAAATATTTACCAAATAAAATAAAGTAAAAAATCAAATAAAAAGTAACACAATAAAATAACAATAACAAGGCTATATACAGCGGGTGCCAGTACTGAGTCAATGTGCAGGGGTACAGGTTAGTCAAGTTAATTTGTACATGTACAGTGGGGAGAACAAGTATTTGATACACTGCCGATTTTGCAGGTTTTCCTACTTACAAAGCATGTAGAGGTCTGTAATATTTTATCATAGGTACACTTCAACTGTGAGAGACGGAATCTAAAACAAAAATCCAGAAAATCACATTGAATGATTTTTAAGTAATTAATTTGCATTTTATTGCATGACATAAGTATTTGATCACCTACCAACCAGTAAGAATTCCGGCTCTCACAGACCTGTTAGTTTTTCTTTAAGAAGCCCTCCTGTTCTCCACTCATTACCTGTATTAACTGCACCTGTTTGAACTTGTTACCTGTATAAAAGACACCTGTCCACACACTCAATCAAACAGACTCCAACCTCTCCACAATGTCCAAGACCAGAGAGCTGTGTAAGGACATCAGGTATAAAATTGTAGACCTGCACAAGGCTGGGATGGGCTACAGGACAATAGGCAAGCAGGATGATTGGATGATTTAAGATTACGGTTATCCTACCAACGGGACATTAAAAACTGTAATATCTTATGTTTCACAGAGTCGTGGCTGAACGACGACATGGACAACATACAACTAGCGGGCTATACGCTACATCGGCAGGATAGAACGGCTGACTCCGGTAAGACAAGGGGTGGCGGTCTGTGTATATTTGTAAACAACAGCTGGTGCACAAAATCAAATACTAAGGAAGTCTTGAGGTTTTGCTCGCCTGAGGTAGAGTATCTTATGATAAGCTGTAGACCACACTATTTACCAAGAGAGTTTTCATCTATATTTTTCATAGCTGTCTATTTACCACCACAAGCCAATGCTGGCATTAAGATTGCACTGAATGAGCTGTAT